TAAATCGTGTATCGCATTTTTTATTCTCGCTGTCGTATTCTTGCTTTCTCGATTCTGGCAATATCCCGATCTGTAGCAGTAAGTTTATAACAAGTGGTATAAGAGCAGCGGCTGGAAATCAGGCTAGGGTTTTTGATTTAGAAGAATGACATCAGTGAACAAGAAGATCGAAAAGTTCACGAGGAAGAACAGCTTCGCTATATGGCAGATCAAGATGAATGCTTTATTGAAACAACAAGGGCTGTGGGGGCCGCTGTCTGCGAAATAGAAGAAGCCAACAATCGATGACGATGAGTGGAATACCATGGAGGAGAAGGCCCACTCGCCCATCATGCTATCGTTGTCTGATGACGTCATCATTGAAGTCGCTGCAAAGAAGACTGTCGCGGGGTTGTGGTTGAAGTTGGAGAGCCTGTATATGACAAAGTCCTTGACCAAAAAGGTGCATCTCAAGCAACGGTTGTTCAGCTTGAGGATGTTAGAAGGTACGCCTTTGAGGAATCATCTGGAACAACTTAATTCTATCTTGCTAGATTTACGCAATATAGATGTTAAGGTTGACAATGAAGATGATGCCCTAATCCTGCTTGTGTCTTTGCCGAGTTCATATGAGAATTTTGTGGATTCTTTTATTGCTGGTAAAGATAGCTTGTTGTTGGAGGATGTCATATCTGCTCTTCACATTAGAGAGATCATACATAAGGCATCCGGTTCTGGTACAGGTGGTGAAGCATCGGATTTGGCTGTTACAAGTGGAAAGGGAAAGAAGAAATCTGGTAAAGAGAATTCGAACAAGAATTCCAAGGGTCCCGGTCCACAGCCAGGTGATGCTTGACACAACTGTAAGGAAGAGGGGCATTGGAAGTACAGATGTCCCAGGAGAAGAGGGCAATAAAGGATTCAAGTCAAGGTGGAGTTTTGTTGATGTGACTTGAATCGGAATATCAGTTGCTACGACTGGAATAGTCGGGGGTCTCCCCGGCCCGCGGTGTATGGGCTCAATGTTATTTGGGTTCGAGTTCTGGGTCTGATCTATACTTGTTTCCTTAACATATTGGATTAGGTTTAGACCCACATGGAGAAGTACTATAAATACTTCGCATACTCCTCTGTAGTTTGTAATCTGCTCGATATAGTGAAACTGGCTCTCTCTCGCCCGTGAACTAGTTAACACACATCGTGTTAATGAACCACGTAAATGGTGTGTCGTGTTTTCGATTCTCGTTTTTGTACTTTTGCTTTCTCGATTCTCGTTTATAACAAGAAGATTGGCAACAAATGGGTATACAAGATCAAATACCTCTCTAGTGGTGAAATTGAAAGGTTCAAGGCCAGATTAGTGGCCAAGGGTTATACACAGCGAGAAGGAATTGATTTTCAAGCCACCTTTGCTCTTGTGGTTAAAATGACAACAGTAAGGTTTTCTCTTGCCATTGCAGCAGCTCACAATTGGTCCATTCACCAGCTAGACATAAACAGCGCCTTCTTGCGCGATGACCTCCATGAAGAGGTCTATATGGCCCTCCCACCTAGAATGACCGCTCCTGCTAATATCCCTAACCCTGTCTGTAAGTTGCGTAAGTCCCTTTATGGCATGAAACAGGCCTCCCGACAGTGGTTTGCTAAGCTTTCTGATAGTCTTCTTCATCAAGGTTGCATGGTTAGTAAGTCAGATCATTCACTCTTTATCAAGTCCATTGGTTCCTCTTATACATCCATCCTTGTTTATGTTGATGATTTAACTGTTGGGGGGGGGGGGGGAATGACATGGCTGAAATCACCCGAATCAAAGCTCACTTACATGCTGCTTTCAGCGTTAAAGACTTAGGCGATCTCAAGTACTTTTCTTGGACTTGAAGTGACCAGAACTTCTCAGGGGCTTCATCTATCTCAAAGGAAATATGAATTATTGGATGAACCAGGACATCTTGGGGTTAAGCCAGTCAACACACCAATGGATTACAAGACTCATTTGAGTATAACATATCTCAGTGAGAAGGTAGATGCTACGGCTTATCGCAACATAGTTGGCAAACTCATATACCTCACCACCACCCACCCAGATATCAGTTTTACCACTCAACAGGTTAGTCAGTTTATGTCTTAACCTTCTGTCCTCCACAAGAAAGCAGTCACTCGCATTCTGCGTTACATCAAAAAGACCCCTGGTCATGGGCTGTTTTTCCCAACTGACACTCCTCTCAACCTCAATACCTTCAGGGATTCAGATTGGGGTGCATGTCCAGATACTAGACGATCAATCACTAGTTTTGTGTGTTCTTTGGAGATTCCCTTGTTTCCTGGAAATTCAAGAAACATACTACCGTTTCTCGCTCTTCTTGTGAAGCGGAATACGGGGCTCTTGCCTACACCACCTGCGAGATTCAGTGGCTGCTCTATCTCCTTGCTGATTTTCAGGTTTCGCATTCTCATCTTGTGCCTCTTTATTGTGATAATCAGTCGGCCCTCTATATAGCTCAGAATCGTTCCTTTCATGAACGCACCAAGCATATAGAGCTTGATTGTCATTTGGTTCGTGAGAAGCTCATTGTTGGTACGTACGATCAAGCTTCTCCATGTTCCATCTGGTCATCAGCTCGCCGACATCTTCACCAAGCCATTCTCCCCTGCTCCTTTTGATTCTCTTCTCTCCAAGCTGGGACTTCAAACCTTGTACCCACCAGCTTGTGGGGGGTAACAGGGGATAAAGAAGATTTTCTTCTTCTCAGCAGAACAGGACACACGCTCAATCAAGCGCGTCAGCTACAGAGATATCGTTGCGGGACACATGGCACACACCAATAGGACATAGAACTAGCCATTGGGAGACCATCTTCTCCAACGGTCTATAACGACTGTTTTTATTGTTTTCTAGTTTTACTATTCACCTACTCTGTTTCAGTTTCACTGCACAGCTGGATTGTCCTTTGTTTCTGTAATTGGGACTATATATATAAAATGAGAAAGAGAAGAGGGGTAGGTTGAAACCCTAATCCATTCACAACTCAAAACGTTGTTACGGAGTGTATCACTCAATTGGATCTATATGACCATATCTATCATTGATTTATACACATACTGACAAATTAATTGGACGAAATAAGTCTTACAGAAATGGTTGGAGTGAGTGCCAAATTAGTCATTTGCCAACTGTAGTGAAATTTTTGTAAAAGGTGGAAGTTTAAATGGTGGATTTGTAAGCGACGTAATAGTAGCCATTTACTATTGATTGATTGCCTTAATAGAAAATTCGACTCATTGATCCCTTCTTCTTTATTTTTTCTGGTAATTCAATTATCCTATTTCCATTGCATGCACGACCGATAATCATGAACCCTAAAAAAGAAAGAAAAAAGAAGGGAAGGAAATCGAGATCCATGAACAAGCAAGCGATGCGGTTTAAGTAAAGAAAAGAAAGGGAGAAAAAATGTGTGTGGTAGAAACCAAATTTATGTTCCCAACAAAACGTAGAAGAAGCAGAAGAAGAAGAAGAAGAAGAGCCCTCAATTAAAAAAAAAAGGTGGCAGAGAGGAGCCTAGTCTTCAGGCTTCCCATATGACCCAACTGACACAAATCTCCGACTCCCTCCCCATATCCCTCCTCCCAATTTCCTTTTTTTCTCTAAAACAAAACAAACAAATAAAAGAAAGAAAGCAAGAACTGACTATTTCAGGCACTTTCAGAATCCATCATAATAATCAACCATTAATCCTCCCCGCACATTTTCAGTTCAATTTCTTCCTCTTTTGTTAAAACTTTTTTTTATGGGACACTTTCGTTAGAGTCATTCCGGTAATATATCATCTGTGTAAAAGAAGTTTGTTCGTGTTGGTCCCTATTAAAATTTAAAAGTCATCCAGGTTTAGTAAACATTCACGGTTTAACTTCGGTATGACTACAATATTATCATATTTTTTCGTGTTTTGTGATGCACTTGTCATAATGAACTCAATGCCTTCAAAGTTGAACTAATGGAGCCGGGTTTGGAGTGGTTGAAAAAAGCAAAGTTTCAAGCATATACGATTCATGTCGTGTGAGCCAACAATAATGTGACTTGTCATTAGACTCCTATGAGAGAACATTATAGTTTAATACGTAATTTTCACTAGACTTCCTCTAAGTCGCAATTTCGACCTACTTTTCGAAGAAATACATAGAGTCAACAATGATCGTCAGTCCAAATTGTACAATATTTGTGTGAAATTTTATAACAATGATTGATCAAAAAATCTCTATGTGACATTATCCACAATATTTTTGGAGTACAATAATAAAAACCACAAAATACCATGGTCCATGAGACCGTACCGGGGAAGTCAGCGTTAGGGTATTTATGGTAAAACCGTGGTTTAATCGTAGTTCAACCGTTATACCGGTAAATACCGCATATCGGTTTAGCCTCCGATACTGGTATTTAGTGGTTGAACCACCGGTACGATACGGTACGGTTTAATGGACACTGCAAAATACAAGGACTGAAAATGCAATTAAATAAATTTAATTCTATAATAATAATGAAATAACAAGTTTAAGTTTAACTTGGAAAGAAACAAACAAAGAGGGGCCTATAATATATTGGTCTGACCGGTGGGATAAGTTTAGTCACAAAATCTGCATGTATACGTTCCCCTTCTCTCTCCCTCTGCTTACCGCGTCTCCCTCTTCAGTCTCCTTTTTTATTTTTATTTTTCCCTTTCCCCCTGTTTTTTTGCTTCGATTCACACAAATCCAATTATAACAATACTGTTGCTTCCCTACTCCCTAGGAATCAATCCACGAAAGCCAAAAAACCAAATAGAAAAACAAACACACATGACCCAGTTTTTCTTCTCATTTATGTATTTTATTATTGACCCAAGAAAAAAGTGCCATTTTTTGCTCCTCAGATTGCACAGAAAGTAACTACATCTCTCTCTCTAAATTAAAAACAAACCCTAATCAAGCATTTCCCAATTCTCCCTCTCCCTCGCTTTTATATATTCACATTTAAATTTACTGCCTAAATTAAAAAGGAAAACCAAATCCATAAATTTCTCTCTTCTTGACTCTTCCCTATACAAACACACACCATATATAAATACCAAAATCTCTTTCCCCTCCATCACTTCTCCCACCTCTCCCTCGCTCTCTCTTCTCTCACTCCGTGTCTCCCATCATCAATACGTACATATCCTCCGCACAAGCTTTCGATTTTCGGTTTCTATACTCGATTTGGAGGCCGGCCCTGTTGAGATTTCAATCGGTTTCTTGTTTTTGGAGTTAAGGCGAAATCCGCTCCAACGGCTTCGAACGGGTGGCGGAAAACGAAAAGAGGGAAAAGGAAGGGTTCGTCTTGATTCATTGGGGGTGCTCTGTTTTTCTTTGCTTCCGGTAATGGCGATACAAGCGCAGTTCTACGGCTCTCAGGAATGGCCGGTGGTGGAGAATGGGTTCGTTCCCGGTGTCGCCGGAGCTGGTTTCATGAACAACAATTCCTGCTTCTTGATCAACAACCTCGAGCAGCAGCAACAGAAGCAGCAGCAGTTTCATAACAACAATCTTCAGCAGCAGCAACAACAGAGGAATGGGGGAACAAATCTCATTAATAATAATAATGGCTTCTTCGTTTCCAAGATTGGGGAAGAAAAGCCCGCCCCTGCTTCCACCGGACTTCAGATTCCGTCGGCCATGACGACCAACAGTAACACGGTGAATCCCTCTGTTAATTCTCTCGCTGCCTATGAACAGAAGCAGAGGCAAGAAATCGACCACTACATTAGAGTACAGGTAATTCGAAGTTCCATTTTTTTTTTTTTCCTCCCCGGAAATTCCGAGTCTTCCTTTTCTATTCCGTTTCCTGATTTGCGTCTCTGGTTTTTGTTATTATTATCATTTGAAATCCAGAACGAGAGGTTGAGATTGATGCTGCAAGAGCAGAGAAAGCAGCAGCTAGCCCTGCTGCTGAAAACAATCGAGTCCAAGGCCACGGTTCTCTTGCGGCAGAAGGACGAGGAAATCGCTCGCGCGGCGAAGCGGGCGACGGAGCTGGAGACGTTTCTGAGGAGGTTGGAGATGGAGAATCAGGCGTGGCAGAGGGCGGCGAAAGAGAACGAGGCGATGGCGATTTCGCTGAGCCACACTCTGGCTCAAGTGAGGGAGAACTCGTCGCTTATGATGATGAACAACAACAACAACAATAATATGAACGGCGGTTTTGGTGGCGGAGGAGAGGTGGCCGACGACGCCGAGTCGTGCTGTCGCGAGAAGGGAGATGAGGAAGAAGAAGGCGAAAAGGAGGAGACGACGAGCGGCGGATACGGCGTCGTTTGCAAAAGCTGCAATTCTCGGGGAGCGTGCGTTTTGTTCCTTCCGTGCAGGCACCTTTGTTCATGCAGAGCTTGTGATGGCTTTCTTGATCGCTGCCCGCTCTGCCAAACGCCGAAGAAGGCTTCCATTGAGGCTTTAATGGCCTGATTTGATGCCTCTTCTTTTTTACCGCGGTGAAAAAGGGAAACAGGAGGAGTAGGGGAAAAATTAAATGAATTTTTTTGTTCTTTTGGGAAGGGAAGGGAAGGTTGGTTGGGGAGATTGACTGTGACTAGTGGTGAGAGTGGTGGGGGCAAAATGTGGTTGGAGGGTAAATATTTTTGCCAGTTTAGGAGGGTTTTCTTTTTTTAACCCCATTTGGTTGGGGTAAAGTTTGATTAGACTAGGATTTTGGTCATTGTACAACAAAATGGTGACAGGCAAAAACATCAGTATCAATGAAAGTGGACAGGAACTCTTTTCTTTTTTACAGGCAGGACATGGTCACATCAAACAGATCTCCTTTTTTTTCACTTTTAACCAACCTGCCCCACACCGTTTGTTTGGCTTTTTTCACAGGACATGGTAATTTATCTTTTCAGTTACACTGGCGTGCTGCTCGAGTTTGAATCTTTTTTGGGTTAATGTTGCTGACTTGCTGTTGTTACGTAAGCTTGTACATTGCTACATGTATTATTAATGATCCGTAACATTAGGTTTTCAGAGTGCGTCTATACAAGAAAGTGCATAATTATCTTTTAGAAGAAGGGGTCGGTTTAGATTTAGGAATCTGTAATTGGTTAATGTAAAATTTTCACTAATTACATAATACAAATGCCAATAAATTCCCACTAACTTCTCGTTCTAGCACTTTCTAACCAAAACACTCAGATGCTCCTAAAATCTTCCAAAATTCATCCAATATACATAAAGAAATCGACAAACTGGTTTATTGACAACAATACTCATAATCCATGGTTTTTAACATGGACCATTCGACTGATACCAGGGAAAAACTCAGATCGCTTATCTATAGGTCAAGGTTGTCAACGCATGGGTTGATCCGGACCCGATCGAGCTAGTGAGTCATGGATTAACGGGTCACCCGTTTTGGCCCGGAAATATGAAAAGAGTCATTATATTGTACTTATCCTGATAAATTATATCAAATCACATCTAACATATGAGTAATAACATATAACATTACACCAAAGTAAAATTTCGTACTTAGATCAAACATTTAATGAAAATTCACACACTTATATAACATCAATATTCAAATGTTCAACTAAGGATTCTAAAGATTGAGTTAGGAGAAAAGAAAATTCGGAAAATAGGCGCATTTCGCAAATCAAAGAAAAAAATAACACAATTTGACCTCCAACCCAATACCTTATAGCGGTCGACCCAGTGGGTGCGTGCGGCCCATTTTTCTCATTGAGTCATAGTCAAATTGAGTCGACCCGCGAGTTGAAAACCTTGCGGTAGGTACAAGTCTGGTTCTATTTTGACCATAAACAGTATAACGTCTTTGTGGTTTTTTTGGGTGTTGGTAATAACATTTTGAAATGTCAGGTGTCAAACAGTTGAAAGGGTGGTGCGTGTGTACAGTGCAGGGGAGACTCTTGATTTGATATGATGATTATTCACATCTCTGATCTCTACTCTCCCACTTTGGCTTTGTCAAAGTGAATTTTTTGTAACATTTTAAATTTTTGGGGTCACAAATGGGGGAATTGGAAAAGATTTGACCGTGCCCATCTGAGCTATCTGGGTGGCTATTTCCCAACAACCCAATTTTAGCAGTGACAGGTGAGGATTGAAAAAAGCAACGTCAGATTCATTCATTCAATCAATCACTCACTTACTCTGTCCCCCTCCCCTCTCTCTTTTCCCCTTTCCCCTTTCCTTTCCTCTGTTATTAATTTGAAGAGAGGAAAACAGGGGAGAGGAAGAAAGAGTCGTTCGTGATGTGCTGTTGGTTTCTGTTTGAACCCCAATCTCTGGTCCATTCCCCCACTCCTCACATCTAAATCCATCGGCTGGATAGTGGTGGATACTATCGTATTAATTATGCCTGCTGGTTTCAAAGATGGCGTTGTATATGTTAATTAATGGTCAGATTTGGACGTCAAACTAGGAACCAATCTAAACCCAGTCTGATAAAATACTACTTGTTGATAGTTCATGACCAAGTTCGTGAATTTATCCTTGTCCGATCCACCGAGTTATTGATCCTCATTGCATAATCCTTCACGACACCCTTTTTTCGTATTAACACAAGATAATAAGATCATCGATAAAATCAATGCGTCTTAAATCTCTCTTCTCTCTCTCTTTTCTGAACCCTAAATTCGAGTTCCTGCCGACGACGGCCGTCACTGACGGAGCGGCAGCCGTCGGTGACGGTCGATCGTGGGTATCACTATTCGGAATCCCGGAGGATAACCGATTGGATTACTATGAGCCGGAGTACGTTAACGGCTCGCTGAGGATTCCGAGGGAGGTTGTGGAAGAAGGTGCTAAACGTTGGGAGAACAGTCTGGTGGGGCAATTTATTGATCGCCCGGCGTCGCTTTCGTCTCTCAGATATTGGGCTAACTGGCTATGGGGGGAAGATGGGGAAGTCCGAGTTTCGGGAATGGGGAGGAGGCTAGTTCTCTTTCAATTTCCTAATGCTGAGATTTGTCAGTGGGTCCTCGAGAGCGGTCCTTGGCATCATAGGGAGAACTCATTGTTCATGCGCAAGTGGGAGCTAGGGATTAGTCCTTTGAAGCTTGACAATTCGTCGCTGCCAATCTGGGTAAAACTTTCGCATCTGCCAACGGAGCTTACTTCCAAAGAGGGTCTGGGACGAGTGGCAAGCTCTCTTGGTCGTCCGCTCTGTATGGACAAATCCACCACTCGAGGTAAGAAGGTTGGTTTTGCTCAAGTCTGTGTAGAGGTTAAGGCTAGTGCTAAGAAGGTTTCGAAGTTGAGTTTTACGCCGGATGGTTTGCCTGAGATTTTCATCGAGGTTGAATATTGTCATATGCCGAAAGTGTGTGAGAAGTGCTGTATGTTTGGCCACAGCTGCAGCAAGGCAGGTGAGATGACAAAGCAAGAGTGGCAGAAGAAGATCCCAGTTATTGGGGAGGTTCAGGGTACTATTCCAACAAGTGAAAAGGAAGAGCAGAGTGAATCTAAAGATGCAAATACAACTGATAATAGTGATGCTTCTGTAGCAGTGGTGATTGATAAGGGCAAGGCTGTGTTGACTGAGGATCCAGTGTGTGCTATCCAGTCTTCAGAAACTAAAACTCCTCCACCTCAAGGAGGTTTGGTTGATGAAAATGGGTTTACTCTGGTAGTCCATAAGAAGAATAAGGTGTGGATTGGATCAAGCTCAGGTCCTCAAGGGCAAAGGAATCTATCAGGTAAGCTGGCTGCTGGTCAAGTCAATGGGAAGAGTGCACGAGTTGCTTTTCAGCCTCCTCCTCCATCTCCTCCAAAGGGTAGAGGGAGAGGCAAAAAGCGCGGAAAATGAAGATTTTAAGCTGGAATATCAGGGGTTTCAATGCCCCTAAAAAGCACTCAGCGGTATTAGAGCAGCTGAGGGTGAAGAATATTGATATTATAGGTTTATTAGAGACTAGAGTAAAGGAGGAAAATAAAAATACTTTAGTAGCGGGTTGTTTATTTGCCTGGAAGCATCTATCAAATTATACTAAGTCTGATAATGGTAGGGTATGGATTTTCTAGAGGGCAGGTCTGCAAGTCACTTTCATTGATGAAGGCAAGCACTATATACAGATTTTGGTTAATGATGTTACACCATTTCATGTGGTTTTTGTTTATAGCCCTAACAAGGAAGAAGAGCGTAGATCACTTTATCAAGAGCTGGTGAATCGAAAGGATAATGGAGTGCCAATGGTGTATATGGGGGATTTCAATGCCATATCTGATATTACTGAAACTTCAAGTACACAGGTGATTACTCAGAGTGTGCAAGATTTTCGTGGTTGGATTCAAAGCATGGAGTTAATAGAACATAAAACTATTGGCTGTTGGTTTACTTGGTGGAATCGTCAGAGGAATAATCCAATAGCTCGAAGAATTGACAGAATTCTTGTTAATGATGCATGGTTAGAAGGTTTTGTGGATAGTTCTGCTTATACTAACCCCCCTGGTATATCGGATCATTGTGGTTTGATTGTTGATACAGCTCCGAATTTGAAAACTCTTCCTAAGCTTTTAAATACTTTGTATTTTGGCAATCCCATCCTAATTACCTGGATATTGTTCGAGAGGCTTGGAAGAAGAAGGTTGTGGGATATCCCTATTATGTATTCTATGGCAAGCTTAGTCAAGTGAAGAAGGAACTGAGGAAGCTCAATTGAGTTGCATACTCAGATATTTCATGCGGAGTTAAAGTTGTTGTTGTTGTACTGGAACAGGCTCAGGAGAGAGTGTTGACTGATCCTTGTGAGGCCGCTGTTGAAGATGAGAATAAATTGGGAATGGAATATGGAGAGCTTAAAAAGGCTAAGGATCTTTACTTCAAACAAAAGTTTAGGGCTCATGTTATTTAGGAAGGTGACTCTAACACATCCTACTTTCATAAGATGGTTAAAGTTAAGACACAAAAGTAGAAAATTACCAGAATGAGGGATGATCAGGGGTTAATTGTGTCTGATATTTATGAGATAGGGGCAGTTGCAGTTGACTTCTATTCTAAACTAATTGGCACTGAGGATTCACAAGTCAAGCAGCAGTCAGTAGCTTTCTATCAAGCTCTACTACAGAATAAGCTTAATGTGGAGGAAGGAGAGTACTTAATGAGAGGTATTACAAGAGCAGAAACTAAGAGTGTTTTCTATTCTCTTGGACGTGACAAGGCGCCAGGGCCAGATGGCTTCCCTGCCGAATTTTTCAGAGCTCACTGGGATGTCATTGGAAAAGAGGTTGAAGAGGTAACGCTTGCTTTCTTTTCAACTGGAATTATGCCTACTATGGTGAACAACACTATTTTTACATTGGTTGCTAATGTCCCTTGTGCTGAGAATATGAAAGATTATCGGCCTATCTCGTGTTGTAACATGTTATACAAAGGGATCTCTAAGCTCTTAGCTAATAGGTTGGCACAGGTCCTCCCAAGTGTGATAAGTAAGTCCCAATCTGCGTTTATCAAAGGTAGGGCCATTAGTGATAATATCCTTTTAGTTTCTGAACTAGTGAGGAACTACCACTACAAAAATGTGAGTCCTAAATGTGTGGTAAAAATAGACATCATGAAAGCTTTTGACTCCGTTAACTGGAAATTTCTGTTTACTGTAATGGAAGCAATGGGTTTCCCTCCTGGTTTCTTAAAGCTTCTGTCTGCTTGCGTTACTACTCCTAAAATTAAGATAGCCTTGAATGGGGGGTTATGTGGAAATGTTAGGGAAAAAAAAGGGTTAAGGCAAGGTGACCCTCTGTCACCTTACCTATTCACCATAGCTATGGAGGTTTTGGATGGCCTTGCTGGAAAGGCAGTGAGGGAGAATCAGATCCCCTTCCACCCACGTTGTAAACCGTTAATGATCACACATCTTTGTTTTGCGGATGATTTGATGGTTTTCACGAATGGATCAGTAAGAGGGGTGGCAGGAATAAGGAGACTGATGGATGAGTTTTATACTCTGTCTGGCTTGCAATGTAATGCAGCCAAATGCCAATTATTCTGTGCTAGAATATCTAAGGAAGAACAGCAGTACATATCAACTATAACAGAATTCCCTCTTGGATCCCTACATGTTCGATACCTTGGAGTGCCTTTGATAACTGGAAAGCTTTCTAAGCATGACTGTCAAGTGCTAATTGATAAGATAACTCAGAGGCTTAGAAGCTGGAGGTCTCGTTTATTGACATATGCAGGTCATATCCAGTTGATCTCGTCTGTTATCTCTAGTACACTGCAATACTGGTTGAATATCTTTCTGCTTCCTAAGTATATAATCAGGGAGGTAGAGAGATTGTGCAATGAATTTCTTTGGGACTCAGCTGATGGTGGTACAAGGAAGAAAGCAGTGATGGCTTGGCACAAACTTGCAATACCAAAACGAGAAGGAGGTCTGGGAATACGAAATTTCAGCCTCTGGAACAAGGCATGTGTGTTAAGGCATGTATGGGAGATTTTAACAAATGGTGGTTCACTCTGGGTAGCCTGGGTCTCTCGATATAGGTTGAGACAAAGAAGTTTTTGGGAAATCTCGATCTCCTCTGCAGGGACATGGATATGGCGCCAGTTATTGAAGTGTCGTGAATATGCTGCTGCTTATATTTCAGGTGCTCCCCCGAATTTGTTATGGCAGGGGCAGCAGATGAAAAGGTACTCGGTTACAAGAGTGTGGGATACCATTAGAGAACGAAAGCAGGTTGTGGAATGGCGTAAGCTGGTATGGTCTAAGGAAATTATTCCTAGACATGGTTTCATTTTGTGGATGGATCTTCATGATAGACTGGTGATGCAGGATAAGCTCCTTGGGTGGGAAAGCAGGTTTCTTGGCTGTGTCTTTTATGCCCTGGTGGAGTAGAAACTCGTAATCATCTCTTGGTTTCCTGTTCATTCACTATTTCTGTATTGAGACAATGTTTGAAACAGTTTGCTCCTCCAGGGGAAGGGGACTGGAATGAAGTGGTGACTTGGTGCATTCGGCAGTGGGGTAAGAAAATACCAAGGCACGGTTTATGTCGTTTGTTATGGAGTTCTGCCATCAGCTATGTTTGGCGTGAGAGGTACAATCGATTGTATGGTTCAAGAATGATAAGGCAACCTGAAATTTTAGCAAAGCAAGTGCATGCTGATGTCTCTTATAGAGTTTCTAGTGATCTTGCCCTCCAGGCAGAGTTAGAGTATATAGATAGTATACCTTGATAGGTTTTCTGTTTTGGTTGTAACAGTTTGAGAGGCGCATTAAGTTTTTCCTTGATGTTTTGCCGGTGCTTAATGCAAGTTTTTTGATTTCGCATAAAAAAAATCAATGCGTCTTATTGACACATTTGTTCAAGTTGAACTACTTAACCGTACTGTTTGTTAGTTATTATCAAATTGTATGACTGCAACGGCGGTAGCGGTGGTGACCACTCGAGCCGTTTCAAAATCATACAAGTCCTGAATGTTTTTCTTGCTAGATTTAGTTTTTGTTATTATTAAATCGAGGCTTACGAATTGAAAATTCAAAAATGAATAAATATATGAAGTAACTAGAATATTTACGACTATTAATTGACATAAAATTGGAAAATAAGCATACCTTCATTCTCGTCATCGAATTTAACAACAAAATAGTCGTTGTTAACCATAACAACAGTATAGTCCCCACGATAATTAGTTTATTTGATTAGAGACTTGCCCCATATGTCACATTGTTTAACACTCACCTCTAGAAATGTTGGTTTGATTGTTTTGTCTAATGCCATTGCTATTGCTTGTCAAATACCTCAGCCTCTTCCAAGCAAATTTCAAATTGGAAAACCATTGTGAAAAAGGATATTTAAAGGAAGCTGTCAAACTTGGCTAACAATATTGAACACAAACTACTATACATGCAACACAACAACAACAACAGCTAGGATAGAGACATCCCACCACACACTACCAATATTGAGCAGTTCTTCTCATCACTCCCTCAATGAAGGGGGAAAAAGAGAAGCCATCAAGAGTTTGCCTTTTTCTTCTGATTTTTTCCGCTGGAGCTTTCTCTTTTATCATTTCAATGATAGAGATAAGCATTTACATATAAGAATTTTCATGACTTATCTAACCAATTTAAAGAAAACAAAAAATGAAATAATCAAAGATACAAACAAGAGTAGATGGAAGAAAAAGGTGGCCAGGTTGGGTATCTATCTTGGGTCCATTGTGTTCAATGGACATTAGTGATATTTATTATTATGATTATGGTCATCACAATTGATTGAATTCAGCTCCCCCCCAACAAGTGGTTGATTTCCACATTGTGATTAATGGAATTATAAAAGTGGGTATTACTTACTTAGCAAAATTGGTTGCCTTGTTAGATGGTTCATGAATTTTTGGATGACTTTTTTCAGATGGTGGTGGTTGCTGAAAGATCATGCAATGGTGGGCCAAGACAAAGAAAAAGATAGCAACTTTGGCCCTTTGTGGTGGTGGTGGTGGTGGTGGTGGTGGTGTCAAAAATTTGAGCCCATAAACTGCAAACCCCATCACCATCCTCATGTGACTTCTCTTTCCCACATTCAAACCATGTCATAGATTTCTAGTTAGGAATTTGATGCTAACATTTATGAATGACAGCCTAGCCTAACATTTGTCAATGGGCTCTGAAAAAATCTTTTTCCTGAAAAAACCAAACACTAAAGTTTGGGGTTATGACGTGAGTGGTCAAATTCGTCCGCTTAGTTTTCAGAGTGATTCGAAACAGAAAGAAAATCCGAGTTCAAACTTGTCTCCGACATACATGGATCGAGTTACGACCACGTGTGAAGTTATAAAAGGCTTCCATGGTCTATCTGATACAGGGATACAATTCATTAGCTCCTAAAAGGCTAAAACAAGAAATTACTATATCCGTACTTAAATATTATAACGATAACATGACCGTATACAGAAATTCGATGAATTTGGTAATTTTAGTTTATAAAAATAGTTCAAGCAAAATTTATTGTTACAATCCGAATTTTATCACAAAATTTATACAAAATAAATTTTCAGATGCATCCAACTCTGAATCAATCTATCATACATTAACTAATAAATCAAATATGTGCAAATACCCTGAGGTCTATCTGTTTACATCTCAGAATTCAAACAACTCAAGCAACGAATAATCTAATCAACAAGTTGTTGATAATAACAAATGAAGGAAAAAAAAATCTATTTTAACGAGACAACTAATCAACTTTTGTTGTTATGTGGTGGGGTAGGAGAAGGGGCAATATGGTAAAGCCACGTGGAGGGGGGGAGATCGAGTGTCCTGGACCTCGTACTGCGGTAGGGCCCAACTGGAGTGTCCTAATTTCCCGCCTTATTCCAATGCAATGAAGTGGCCGTACAGTTCTCTTCTCCCCGCTTTTGGTGGTGGTGCCGTGGTGGGAAGGCGCAGTAGCAGTGTAGTGTTGTTGGCGTATCTGCCAGCGTGGGCGGGACCCACTTCTTTGTCGCTGCTTCATTTATCTCGTCCGTCTTAGCAGGACTGTGGACCCCACTCCTCCTTTTTTTTTTGTACCCAAACGATGCGAAAAAGGAAATTGTAAAATAAATAATTCTTTTCTTGATCGGGTCGCTGTTTTTCTGGCTGGCAGTTCGTATCCGAAGGGAAGGCAGGCACGCGATTCTGGGACACTTTTTTTTTTTCCCCCGGATAATTATTATAGAGACGAGAGCAGTTGCACTTGACGTGGAAATTTGACCGTTCGGTGGGAACTGCAGGCACGTCATCTCTCCCAACAAATCCTTTTTTCTATTTTTTTTTCCTTTGGATAATTGATGAAATAGTAAAGCCATAGCTAGTGTATATAGATTGCTGAAATAGTAAATTCATTATTCAGAAAATACAGATTTAACGGTGGACAATTAAATATATTTGGGCAAATACCATTAGGAAACTCGAATTATGAAGAATGTGTCATTTGTGAGCTAAACTATTTTTTTGTTAGCCGTGATGAACCCAGTCTCGATTCAGGCGGGACAGTCGATGGTGCAAACAGCTGCTTCTTTGATTGGGTCATTGGATTTGGGGGTTTACTTGGTTTCAATGGAATGGAGGTGGAGGAAGACACAGAGAAGATGGCGGAGTGAGGAACACAAGGGGAGAAGGAGCAGCTGGGCTGGAGCGCCTTCGCTGCTGCTAGTTTCTTCGCAGCGGAAGTAGACTGGAGCGGCGCCTTTGTCTCTTACTCAACTGGGTCTATCGGCGCTCATCGTCGACGATTTTGCGGCGGTGGGTTATGATCGAGCTGACTTCAGATCCATTGTCTGGTGTTAATGTGATTTGGGAGATTTTCCTGGTGGATGTTGAAAATGAAACACAGATCTAGATCTGTAGTGGTGTAACCAGAAGAACGAAAGGTGGAAGGGATTTTTCGATCTGGGAAATCTTTTAGGGAGAGAGAGGTGAATCGGCATTCGGTTTGGGATCTTCAGCTTGCGTGGATGATGATGATCTCCTTCGTTGGGTCGTCAAAAGAAATATTGAGGGGAAAGGAGGTTGCAAGCAGAGAAGGGTGATTCTGATTTGTTTTTTAACATTTTAATTAATTGGGAAAATAAATTCTTAATAAAATTATAAACTACACATATTGATGATGTGGCAAAAAAATATGATGTGTCTGCTTACGGGGCATAGCCACGTCAGCAATGGTCAACATTTTTATATTGACTGTTTGGTCAACCGTTATCTATAACGGTCAACAAAATCTGCATGACATAAATGACACCCAACTATCATACGTTAGGATACAAATGTCATATTGAATACTTTATGACAGAAATGACACATTTTTAATAGGTCGGGTTTCCTAGTGGTATTAGCCCAATATATTTTTATTTTTTTAGATTTCTTAATTTGCTTATATTTTTTTTGTTTAACTTGGATTTCAATATTTTTTTCACAGATGGAACGAATTTGTTGTGCCCTACAAACTGAGATCCATTTTCAATATTTTTTTAGAAAAAACTTCATGTCTCTCGTACCAACTGCATACCATATGATATCTTCTTCGTTTTTAAGTCGTTTTTGAAAATTTTTGCACAGAAGAAACGAGTTCATCATGATCTATTGGATCTACAAATTTTTGAGTTAACAAAATACATGACCATAAAATATCACACAATACCACAAAATACCACCTTGATACGAGGTGGTATGTTGTGGTACACAATGTTAAAAGTCGTAAATGACAGTTAGTGTACTCATACTATCATGTATTCAACCATCCTACAGTCTTGGTATGTTCATAACACCATTACGCTTTTCATACCATACGCAATACTCTTATTTCAATACCAGTCAATACCATATGTTATAGACTGGTTAAAAATGGTTCTTTTTTTTTTGTTCCAAAAATATACCATGTGCTTAATAGAAACAGAAACAAATGGGGTCATCGAGAATCGAATCCAAGACCTTTCGGCCACAGAAGGCTCTGATACCATGTAACGACGAAACCGAGACTTAGTAGAACACTAGGCCACATTTGCATAGAATATTTGATATCGTAAACTAAAATATATAACAACTATAATTTTCATTACAATGCCAATTGTACAAGAAGTTCTTTTACTTTAGCAAATCCATTACTGAAAATGTTCTCTGTATGGTAGTCGTTGAATCGGGTAAGGTCAACACTAAACGAATCAACCGATAAATCAATTTGAATAGGGTTCGTTCATCTCCTCGTTCTTGTTTTGTTTTCGGGTGAGTGGAATTTCCCCCCCAGTTTTGCAGGGAAGGGTGAGCTATAGGTTAGATGTTTTTTTTATTCCAATAAAACTATATACTTTAGACATTTAGGTTTTTTTTTTTCAAATACAAATCATTTGGGCTAAAAAAAGTAGTCTAAATTTAGAGTAGTGATTTAGATATGTTCTTATGATCCATTTTCTAGTTATACAAATCATTTTATCAAATAAAATTGAACCGATTTTTAAATAGAATTAGACCGAATACCTAAAATAAAAAATTTTGTACCTTTGGATCTAAAAAAGGTTGAGCCGTGGTCTGGGCTGGCTCAGCTCTAGATTCGTCGCTGATATCATGTTAAGAATCCGTTGATTTCAATAACCCGGGAAAAATAAAGCTTTAATAGAGCAGTCATTAGGACTCAAAGCCCGACCACTGATGCTGTATTGCCAAGGTACTATTGGAGTCCTTCGGCCTGTTTTACCTAGGGCTTCTCTCCTTCGCATATGAAGGATACATTCCTTATTGGGCTTGTAATTTTGTACCTTGGGCTGTGACCTTATCACCCAACAGCTTCTTAACGCCGATAAGTATTCCGGATGAGCAACTATAAATCACGCAGCATATTTCCTTGCAAGCGCACGGACTCATTGAGAGCTGGATCTTCTTTCATAAAATGGGACCTAAAGTTCTTGGGCCCTACCTAAGTGGGCAACTTGGTTACGGCCTAAATTATATGAGCCTTGCTGGACCAGCCTGGTCCAATGGTACATTTAACTGAGCCCACGGGCCATGTCGGGGAACGAAAGAACGCTAGTTAGACGGCTGATGGGGCCGGAGGAGGAGTGCCAGCGCAGCGGCAGCGGGGACTGCCACGGCGATAATTCCTTCACCTAGCTGAGCATACTCGTCCTCACTGGGGAAAGGGAGAAAATTCGAAGATTTTCTTTTGGTTGATGAAGCAAGCAAGGAAGGAATCTTGAAAAACCCAAAGCACGCAGCAGGCAGGAGGAAGAAAAGGAATTATTCTAAGGGCTTTCCCGCTTGCTAAATAACACGCCTCGCCCTTTCCCCCCGGGGTTCGATAGAGTTGATTGCCGTCTGCCTACTCAGCTGATCTAGTAGCGTCCGCAGCCGGAGTTCTGGGTCGGATCAAGATCTTAGTGGGCGAAGCTGGGTAGAGCTCCTGAAAACCCCATTTGTTCAGTTTGTCTATTCCAATTCTGGTCTCTTGGGCTAGTGAGAAAAGGGATCTTTGGGTTCTGCTGATTGTGCCGATTTGGGAGCGAGAGTGAAAGAGTCTTCTCAAATGGCAATCAACAAGTCTAGACCTAAAAAGCCCTCCAAATTGTCCGTTTACCTTTATATTCCCAACATTATTGGTGGGTTCGTCTTCCTGTTTTCTTTGCTTCCCTTTTGCCATTTTGCATGAGTTCATTTCACTTCTATTGGCTGATATTGTGAATGGTGTTCTTGGTAACCAGGCTATGTGCGGGTTCTCATGAATGTCTATGCCTTTGCTATATGTTTCTCCAACAAGCAGCTTTTCTGCATCCTTTATTTCATTAGGTGAGGGATAGTGATGTGCTCAATTGGGAAGCTTGCTTCTAAAGTTTTGGCAATAAGATTGGATGCTTTTACTTTGGTTTCAGCTTTGTGTGTGATGGGATTGATGGTTGGGCTGCTCGGAAATTCAATCAAGGTACCACTACTATTCTCTGACTTTTCCCCCTATGTGTAACCACTAGAGGAGTAGAGGTGAAATGAGCTCATTTTCTGACTTGGACAATGATTCATTGAGTTAGGCATGCCAAAAGGAATACGATGATTCATTGAGTTAGTCTAATTTACACACTAATTTTCGAAGCTCAACTCTCTAAATGAAAACGAAAAGCCCCTTCATTAGGCATGCCAAAAGGTATACGAAATCTGTTTCAACAGTTCTCTAAAGCATCATTCCTGATTTACTTTCTTCCATCTCAGTTTCAACTTTTGGAGCAGTTCTGGACATGATAACAGACAGGTAGGGGCTTTTTGGCTATTGGGGCAGCTCCTTGTGTTTCCATACCTCTTCTGAGTTTGAGTATCGTGTTTTCTGTACAGGATTAGCACTGCCTGTCTGCTTGTAATCCTTTCTCAAGTATACCGGTATATCTCTCTTGCATGGTTGTAGCAATTGCTTTGTGATTCTCTTATGTGAGCGCAGTTCTTAGTTTTGGCATTGATCATGCAGACCTGGCTTGACTTTTGTATCACTGCTTGCCCTGGATATTGGTAGCCACTGGCTGCAGATGTACAGGTGAGTTAATGTGTGATCGGAAAGTTGTTTGATTGGTTCCTTGCACTTTGATATAGTTGGAAACATATATATGCAATGAACTTTTCTTTAAGTATTAACTGTTCAATTTGCTGTACCTTGGGATGCTTGGATTTCCAGTACATTCTTGTTAGGGAAAGCTAGTCACAAAGATGTGAAAGACAGTACCAGTTGGCTATTCAGGGCTTATTATGGCAACCGTATGTTTATGGCTTACTGTTGTGTGGCGTGTGAGGTAATTGTTAAAGCGTTAACCTGCCTGGTTCTCCTTTTAGAGCATGGCACTTCCTGGAATGAACGTGCTCATGTTTTTCTTTTACCCTCAATGTACGTTTCCTTGGGCCACAGGTTCTCTATATTTCCTTATATCTTCTTGCTGAAAAGCCAACTGAACATTTGATGGATGTAAGTCCTCTCTCCTTTTTCGTAGTCTTTACAGAAAAGGGAAAATGTCATTTGAACCTGGTGGTTTCTAACATAGCTTTTAACTTTCAGGTTCTGATGTCCTTGACGAAAGAGATTTCCCCTTTCTCGATCTTAGTTGGTTTAAGTTTGTTCGGATGGGCGATCAAACAAGTTGTAAATGTGATACAGGTAGCACCTAGTACTCCAATAATTAGATGATGTTTTCTCTTTGAGATTCGGAGTTGTCAGTTCTGGATATGCCAATTTGAATTATTAATTAAATACTTCTGAATTTGCTCAGATGAAGACAGCAGCTGATATTTGTGTCCTTCACGACATCAACAAGAAAGAGAGGCCTTAACAATGCTTTCCATGAAGAAGAAACAAAGCTTTCTTTCGGAGCCGAAGTTCCTGCATCAAAGTTTATGTCGAAAATCATGAGTTCGGCTGCTCAGCAATGTCTATGTACTGCAACTTTGCAGGTTTCTAACTTCTCGTCTTGCTACGGCTTGTGTCTGTTTTGTTGCCGTGGGAAGGAAAGATTTGATGTGGTTTTTCCCATTTTACAAGTTTTGAGAGAGTTTGGTGAGCCTTTTTTTTGGCATGTAAGGCTTTCTTTCCTTACAGAACAGTTACTGATTGTTTTCAGTTAAATCTCAGTAGCTGAGGAACTCCATCCTGCGGAATTTGTAGGTTTCGCGTATCCAAGTTGGAAAAGTCCTGTTATGATATAGCTTTTCCACAGAACAAGTTGAATTTCATATGATTTAATCATTTAAATCTGGAGACGGAAAATGAAAAGTTGCTTTGATAATGTCATAATGGTATGTACCATCAAGCCATAACTGAAGGAGCTGATCTTTAGTTACACTCACATCTTAAAGCTCCTTCAAAACTCTTGCTGGAAAATTAGTGCAAAGTACCAGCAGTAAAGCCCAATCAAGAATCAAAATGCTTACTAATAAATGTCGAACTCAAATCGACTAACAATTACGACCTGAAACTCTAAACTGAAGAGACAAAACTAAAGAAGAGCTCTCAAAACTGATAGATTGGAGACAGGATAAGACGCTATCCATCTCCTTTTCATTGCTTGTGCACCACTTTCTCCGCAGCAAAATGCAATCCAATGGCTCATTCCAATCATCTCTTCTCTAGCTGTAGCGCAAATACCCTATTTAGTAGTATCAATCAATTCAATACAAGCTGAACCCGAAAAACTGGCTAATGAGAATGGAGACACCAAGAGCGATAGCTATGAAGGAAGATGCCCATGTGAGCTTCTCAGTTATTCTAGGCACCCGGTCCTTCAACGCCTGACTAAAGGACCCTATGAAAACCGTGTAGCACCCCATTGCAACAACAGTTCCCACCAAGAACATGACAAGAAAAGCCGCACCAGCCACCCGAGAAGGCAAAGCGAGTGCAGGCAAGACCATCATGAGCGCATCAGGCTGCAATCCATGAACAATCCCTGTAGCAAAGGTAGCAAATCCTATCTTCTTCTTCTGCACTACAGCAGGGGTGGCTTCAAGTGATTCATAGACGCCCACATCACACTCTCCATTTTCTAGGGCAACACAAGGTGAGGGGACCTCGGAAGCTTCCTTTATCCCCATACCGCCAATGACAAGTAGGGTAAGACCGACAACTCGAGTGCCCCAAGTTCTGAGGATCTCGATGTGGAGCCGATCCTTGAGCAGGAGAAACAGAAGACCAAAGATTACCTGGCCAGCATCATGGCCACAACCCCACAGTGCTCCAACAGCAGCACTTTCAAGACGTGTTCGACCAATTGAGAGTGGAGCCAAAGCTGCAAGGTGATCTGGACCTGAGAGTGTGTGGAGACAACCAGCAAAGAAACCAGTCCATGCGCTGCTTAAGAGTTCGGTCCGGATTAGTTTTGCTCCTAGACCAGCGGGAGCAGCGGTCTTGGCTGCTGTTTGGTAGGTTGCTAATGCCGGTGATGCAAAGATTGGGTGCATCGTGAACATCAAGACAGCTGAGAGTAGTACACAAGCCGCAACACTCATTGCCTGCAGGAAATTTCAACAATGTATTGAAGCAAAGATCACCAACCTTTGATAATAGATTGACATCAATATAGCTACCTTAGCATTTTACCAGCATCACAGAATGGAAGTCCTAATCTAATTGGGAATAGGAAGTACACCTAGCTTGAAGCTATTGCATGAACTAACAACAGAATTTCCTTTCTCTTGCCCCCTATTGGAAACTATCTAAACCACTAAACTCCCCATGGCCACTAATTTGTTCAATAACAAATCAGCAGCTAAACCTAGGTCTTCAGAGAACAGGGCAAAAATGCCACCGCACACAGAACTCAAAATTCTAATAGCTACCCAATATTCCTTGCATTCCTAATCGTGTCCCAACGTAGAAAATTAAACCCAGCGACATGAAACTACCTTTCGTGGCAAATGACGGGATTCGGCCGGGATCTGTAGGAGAAGATCAGAACTTGGCGCCGGGCCAGCAGGGGAATCGACGTGTAAAGGGGCCAAAGAAGGCAATTTACCAGAAGAAACGGATGATACCGACGGTGGATTCGTCTTATAATTGCAGGAGACGGTACCAGCTCGCCGGAGCTGAAGCGGCTGCCGTGGCAGAAGCGGGAAGCCGCCGAGTTTAGCGGCATCGATCCGGGGGAGACGAGGCAGAAAAGGAGTGGGTTTGCACTGGAGTTTGAGAGGCGCCGTGGGAGAGGAAGAGTAGAGCAGCCTCTCCATGTTTGAGGACGGAAGTCTCCGTCGTAAGGTTCGTCCTTGGCCGGAAGGTTTCCAGAGGTGGAGAAGGTTTTTGTAGCAGAAAAGTTTGGGCTTTTAGTTCGGTTGATGTAGATAAAGTTGGTTGGTGACAAGAAAGGAAGAAAGAGAGGGTTTAATTTAAAATGGCGATACCTATAGATTTTTTGCTATAATTTCCTCAAACTCTTCCTATTTCTTCTCTTTTGAGAATTTCCTCACGCTCTGTTTGGCAATAAGGGTGGAAATTGCAGGGTAAATTGCTGGGGGTGCAAATTGTTGAGGTTGTAAGTGAAGGGGTAAATTATTGTTTGGATGAAAAAATAGGGAGTGCAAATAGAGTGAAAAGTAAGTAATTATATTATTTTAAAGTAGATTTTAAGATTTTAAAATATTATCATAAAATAATAAAATAAATATTACTATATAATAATAAATATACTTTACTAAAAATAGTTATTATATAATAATGCTCAAATAATAATTAATTATAACAATTGTAATAATCATTGATCGAGCGATCTCAAAACTCGAAGTTCAACTCGTAACTGGTCATCCTATATAGGGTTTTCGTGTCTAGTTTAATCTTAAATTGTCAAACTTAGTCAAACACGTTTGAATTTGTAAGTTTTAACTATTTAGTCAAATAAACTGAGTTAACCAAACAATTTCTCTCTATCTTTTCCACAAACACCTCGTATCTCTAATTTTCAATGCAAATTCGATTCAACCAAGAGATCTAGATTTGACTTGACGAACATTGATAAACTTGTTTCCAGAGTCAAATGGTCAACCCCGAATAATGTTTACATTAATGATATTTATAAAAAGAAGAAATTGATAATATTAATTATTATATAATTATATATAACACAATTAGAAAAATAAAATTTCATAATTCCCCCTCCCCCTCTCTTCCTTCCTTCCCTTGCACCCCAATTCGGGGGTAAGCCGAAACAGTAAATTTGCACCCCCTACTAATCCAAATTAACCAAACAGGTGCAAATGTGTTGGAAACTGTGTTTACCCCTCACATTTGCACCCTCCTCCCATTTACCCCTCTTCCCAAACAGAGTGTCAAACTCTTTGTAGCTTAAAAAAAAAATCAATGCAAAGACAAGAGAGTCAGGATTGAAATCGGAAGGGCTTGTTGTAGTTTTGCTATAATTTTTTTTAATGGGGGACTTGGAAGAGGTTATTTTTATGGATTTGTGAGAATTATGAGAGTTGGTGATCGAAGTTATATAAATTGTGGGTAATTTATTTTATAGTCACTTGAACAATTCATCGATTGTTAGTTTACTTGCATTATTATTAGTTAGGATTTAAGTTTGTTACTCTCCAATTTCTGATCATAATGATAACATGATACTCGTGCGATTTGATAATAGAGTATTTAAGTCTTTAACTATAAATCTTTCAAATCATTTTACTCTAATCGTACCTTAACAACAATATGTTCGATTACGAATAACCTAGAAAACATTAACTGTTCTCTATTGGTAGACTTATTGATGATAAAAGAAAATGATTGATTAGTATTCTCCCCATCCATGCATAAAGAAACGACTCAATGTTTGATAGCAAACTACTATCTAATAATGGATGTTGTAGTGTACATTTCTTGAATATTAAAGTGGTGGGTTCAATAATTGAACCATATTATATGTATTAACTCACGCGTGTTAAACTTACATTATTTGCTACTACATGCACGTAATGAGATATACATTGATTCGTACATAATTTTTTTATTTTTTTATGAAAGAATATTAGTACTAATACCAAGCTATCAGGATGGTTGTTTGAGTCAATTAGAATTAAGTGAGTTAATTGGTATCAACGGAATTATTTGTTAGAAAAATACATGAGTCGGTTGTTCTTTTTCTGAATGATATTAAGAGAGCACAAGTGTTATACAAACAAAACTAACTAGAAATATCCTACAGGCGACATCCTAGTGAAGTCGCCCAGTAAAGTCGAAAGACTCTAACTCTAGAAAAGACAATAGCAGTGCGTTATGCACCACTCTATGGGCAATACTGTTGGCGGCTCTAGGAACCACCCTAAACTTTATACAAACTGATAAAAAGTCTAAAATCTGCAGACACTTTCGTAGCACCAAACCTCCAACGAAATCTTCTAAGACATCTTGCGAGATCTGGTTGACGACCACCTCAGAATCACCTTCCATTATCACTTGAGCCAAGGATCTTGAGGCGATGACGGAGATAGCATCTCTTACTGCTAGGAGTTCTGCCAGATGTAAGTTGACTACTCCCTGGTGACGCATACTGGCTGCCAGCACCACATGCCCGACTGACCCACGATAACAAGACCAAACAAGCACCCTGAGTCACGAACAGTTGCATCAAAGTTGATTTTCAAATGGTCATCTGTTGGAGGCTACCAAGATGAAGGAGGAGGAATTGGAAGGAGCGATCAGGGGGCGGAGGAGAGGATTGAAATTGGAGACTTGAAGGACTTGGTTGGAGAATTGTCATGAGCTTGGTAGAATTCAAAAGTCACTTTATTTCTAAACTTCCAGATTCTCTACAGAAAACACACACATTGGAGAATGTGGAATGAGGAGATCTCAGAGATCATGACATGTCGCCACCATAGACTAAAATTAACAGTCTGGCGGAATCCTTGAAGTTGCTCAATCCCACTATGGTCCACAACTTGGTGGAAAGGGGGCATCTGAAGAATAGGTGTTCATTGCTCTCTTGACGTCGCCAGCACATAGGACATCGATTGAGGCAGTTAACTCCATGGGTTTGTAGGGCAACCACTGCGGGGAGGAAAAAAACTACAACACACTTTTCGAAGCCAAAGAGATTTTCTTTTAAAAAAATTCAACCAAATAAATGGGATGATTACTATTACTAAAATAATTATGAGCATATTAATTATGGTAATCAATTCAAATAAATTTTCTTGTACAGCGAATGCAATTATGATAGCTAGCTTCGCCATGTCTCGTCACAGATAGCACCATTGGAGTGAAGGTGGACACCCAATACTTTGCAGCGAGATTCTAGCCATAATTAAAGGAGGATAATGAGATTAGGAGTTTAGTAAATAGCTTTTTAATATCCCTTCCATTAAAAAATTGGATTCTCAAAACTGGCCAATAAAGACCATATCACGCTATTAATTGGACGCTTAAATGACATAATTGTCATTTGCAACGTCTCCTTAGTCCGTTGACATTGAATACACGAAGTATTTAATGGTACATAATTGGCCTTAACAGTACTTGCCATTGTGGAGCAAAGGCTCGCCCATGATGTAACCCTCATCCAGTAATTATTACTAATTAGGGAGGAGTTAATGATGAAGAAAGCCGATGTAACAGCTCAATCCCGGCTGACACTAGCCGACAATGGCAGCCCCACCACAGCACCGACTTCCGGCGCATTCCGGCAGCCAATGCAATCAAAAGCGCAATTTTACCTAGAAGCGTAAAATCGTAAGTTTTTATGTTTTAAAGCGTAGATTTTGACAACATGTGTAAGGAAAAATCACGATTCTACATAGAAGAGTTTTGGTGACCTAAAAAGGTAAAAACCTAAGCTTTCAAGTTTTAAAGCGCGATTTTGATTGCATTGCCGGAAACAACACAAGGACACAAGGACTGATCGGCAACCTGTAAACCTTCGCCGCAAACCATAACACTGAGTAAACCCACATGTTAGTTAATTCAAGTTTAGCCAATAAAAGAGAACCATGCTTCTAAACACATGGTGATGAATATTAACAAGAAATACCCAGCGAGCAACATTTCTACGGTTGATTTCCGGTAGGGGTGGGAATTCGGTTGCAATTTTGCGGTTAAATCGCTAATCGCACCGAAATCGCACGATTAGTGGTTAATCGCAAACCGAAAAAATGGTGTATTTTGCGATCGCGGTTAGTAATATTGCATGTTTTGCAGTTTGCGGGTTAACCAAAACCACAACCGAACAACATGTAACCGCATTTTAACCGATTACTAACGCGGTTACCTACGGTTAACCGCGGTTATTGCGATTAACCGTGACATAGTGCACAACCATAGATAAAAATATACGCAAATCAGAAGAATATTTAGTAATGCGGTTAACCTTGATTAACTGTTAACCGCACTTTGCGGTTAGTGGTTAACCGCAAACCGTTTGCGGTGCGGTCGTGGTTGGCGTATATGGCTAGGTTTCGGTTGCGGTTAACCGTAAATTTTGGTGCGGTTAACCACAACCGCACCGATTCCCAGGCCTAATTTCCGGCCAGGGCATTCCATCAACCGAAACAAAAATCCTCTAAAATAGGTTCACTAGCTTAGTTTCATCAACAGAAAGAGCTAAAGGATACCAGAAATCGAAAATCAGACCTCTTATTCAAACGAACAACAATCATCACCAGAACAGAATCTTTAGACGAGGAGGGACCGAGGAAGGGGTTCTCGGAGAGAGGCTGAAAAGACAACCGCTAGAGGGATTTGGCAGCACAATCGCCAGCAGAATTGCGCAGAGTCATTGACGAACATTGTGATGAAGAAGAGCACGAGGTAACAGATGATGGTGGCGGAGGATAAAGTTTGGGGACATGGGAGTCACGAGCGTTCCTCTTGGGGTCGACGACGGAGAAGATGCTGTAAACCAATATGAAAGTGCCGATGATATCCGCGCCACATCCGGTAGCGATGCCGTACTCGTAGCTACGGCTCAGAGACTATTCTTTGAATTTGGAATTCCCACCAAACCTTTTTTCAAGCATAGTTAGAATTGTGAAATCCTCCCAAAATACATGAGTCAATTGGTTTATAGGAAAATCTAAAATGATTATATCAAGTCATTTTTAAATGTATCGTCTCAATAAGTCATTTTCAAATAACTTATTATTTAGTCCAGATATCATAATTTTGGTCTTGGCTATTTTTCATAAACCCATTTCTATCCTTCCGTTTATATTATTTGTTTCCCCTACATTGCTTCGTCTCCCCGTGAAATTATTATTTTTCTTTCCCTAATTTCACAGGAGACGAAGATGTTCATCCATGTCATCCCTATCAAGCTCTCTTTACTCCAGTTCGTATTGTCATCCGAGTTTCTGCCTTCAAGAATGAGTCGCAGTCCTCCCCATGCACTAGAGCTCTCTTCTTCATCGTTAATGACCAACGCACTCCATCCCAGATCGACGCCTCCTTCTCGCCGTTCATCTACCTAGTGACACATCTTTACACCACCATTTTGCAAGGCATTTGCCACAATTCTTTGTAATTATTATAAATTTGAGACTTACGGAGTAGTCACCTTTCGTAAACAAAGTTAACATAGAATTATTATTCTAAATTAGAAAGTAAGATTATACATGGCTCATTTCCAAATAATATGTTTTGTTGGTTGCAAAATGATTTTATTTACATGGTTGATTTTATTCGGATAGGAAAAAAGACGATAAAACATTACATGTAACATCAAAATATAACATTATACAAGTAACTTATTCAAAAATGATTCATCTAATTTTTTTCTAAACAAACATACAAATATCTACTTTTGAACAAATGATTCGTCGTGTAAATCACTCATGCAAACGACACCACTGATAACCACAAAATCCACCACCACATTGCTACATAGTAATGCCACTTGAAAAGTTAACTTTTCAATTAGTGGACATCTGAATTGTCATTTATTAGTTCTCCTTAAACTTGCGGCCTATTTTATAGCCACACCCTCCACTCCATACATTTCTTGTTAAGCTCGTTTGGTTGTTGGATTTGAAAAATGAAGGTTTTGTGTTTTGAAAATCTTTGGATTTATGATTGATTTATTGCATTTTATATTTGAAAGACAACATTATTTGTTTAGTTGAATTTTTGTCATGGATTTAGTTCATTTGATATTTGGGTCTCAAAAATTTGCTTTCCATAATGTGGTATTTGCAGATATCAAATGAAATGTTGTATTTGCAAATACGTGGGGTCCATGGATTTGAAGCTAAAAAAATTGTCAAAATCCTTGCGGCTCACGGATGTACATACCTTAACAAACAATGACTTTGGACGAAAAACATGATGGTTGGTATTTGGATACCAAATACAACATCCAAATCCCATTAGCAACCTAAGTTAATGGTTAACTTGGGGATGATGATTTCAACTCAATTAAAAAGTTTGACTTCGTCTATTTATAACGAATGGGAAAAAGTCTATCATTCTTATAAGGCCAAAGTTATATTACCAAACAAAGAAACGTTGTGTCGTTAATTATGCATATACTCGAAATACAATTTTCATTTCCTTAACTACATTTATACTGCATATTGAGGACAAAGTTGAGCTAACTTCACCAGCTAAGGTCAATTCTAAGTTTCAACATCCCCACAACGCTATCAAATAATATTAATATTTATATAAAGGGTTACTACAGTTGGTCCAGAAACGACCACATGGTCCAATTGAAACGGATAAGTGGCCAAACTCAACTCAGAAGTCAAGTCAGAGCTCTAAATCCAATTCGCCGGCTCAAAACAAAACCCACCACAAGAACCCGGCTCGCGCTCCCCACGGCCCCTCCTCCCGCTTGCTTGAGCCGGGCACACGCCAACTGCCACCAGCCCACTGTATGTAGCCCAACGTTTGGGCTCTCTTCTTATTGGCCCAATATTTTTATCCCCTCTTACTAGACCAGGCCCCATACGAATCACAAGTCAATGGGCCAATGGCGCCAAGAGTTGTAGCGATAAAGTAGGGGGTACGTGGCTTTAATTCACGAGTCCAAGTCATCATTATCCAAGCTTCAAAAACCGACAATCAATTCACCTCCACTCCCTTCCCTCCACCTCTATCCGAAAAAACCTCGATCCGCTACAACCGTGACCACCGATTCGTGTCCTCGTCTCTGGTCCACAGCCGTCAGATCATAGTTGGAGTTTACAATCAACCATCATCTACCTCGCAATTGAAAGCGAAAGACGGATATCCATCTTCTCCTCCCGCACCTGATCGCTCATTCCCTCCCAACCCACCAATAATAACGCTAGCAGAAATTCAAAAAAGTGCGAGCGAAATTTGCAGAGTGAACTGAGCAAGCAGAGAGCTCTATTCCGATGGCGAAGCCGGTCTCCATTGAAGTCTGGAACCCAAATGGGAAATACAGAGTCGTCAGCACTAAATCCATGCCCGGAACCCGCTGGATCAATCTTCTCATCGAACAAGACTGCCGCCTCGAGGTATGGACTTACAATATCTCTACCTCCTTTCGTTTCACCCCAATCGAGTAACCAAATTTCGCGGGAGTTTAGATATGTACCGAGAAGAAAACGATCCTCTCCGTCGAGGACATCATCGCTCTAATCGGCGACAAGTGCGATGGAGTCATCGGGCAGGTAAAGTTAAAGACTCCACTACTCTGTTTCAGTACACTCGTCTCTGCTTTGTGCGGTTATGGTGACTCTTTTTTTATCCTGTTCCAGTTGACGGAAGATTGGGGGGAGACTTTGTTCGCGGCGCTGAGTAAAGCTGGAGGGAAAGCATTCAGCAACATGGCAGTTGGGTACAATAACGTGGATGTTAATGCTGCTAATAAGTATGGGGTTGCAGTTGGAAACACTCCTGTAAGTTGTTTTCTTTTCCAAATGAACTGTCTTGGGTTTTCGTATGGGTAGAGGCGGATAATGGCTTGTTTTGGGGGGGTTTTCTTCAGGGAGTGCTTACCGAGACCACTGCAGAGTTGGCAGCATCGCTCTCGCTTGCGGCAGCTAGAAGGATTGTTGAGGCTGATGAGTTCATGCGGGCTGGATTATACGATGGATGGCTTCCTCACTTGTATGAATTGAGCTTTTCTTTGAGCCGCCCACCATGTGTTTAACTAAATGCGTCTGAGACGAGAAGAGTTTGTGATTCTTGTGAATTGGTGTTTGTGGGTAGGTTTGTTGGAAACTTGCTCAAGGGACAAACTGTTGGTGTCATTGGGGCTGGCCGAATCGGATCTGCTTATGCCAGAATGATGGTACTTTACAACACTTGGCGAAGCTTGTAGTATAGTCTATTGGTTGTTCATGATTACAGCTTGTAGTGTAGTCTATGGTCTGAGTTCTTGTTTGTTTTGATTTATAGGTTGAAGGGTTCAAAATGAATCTCATATACTTCGACCTGTATCAATCAACGCGGCTGGAGAAGTTCGTTACTGCGTATGGTCAGTTCCTCAAAGCAAATGGCGAGCAACCGGTGACCTGGAAAAGAGCATCCTCCATGAGTGAGGTGCTTCAAGAGGCTGATGTGGTAAATTTCTTAATCTAGAGCATCATGTTCACGGTCTGGTTATGTCCTACTGGAGTTCAGTAACATTAGGCCGTCATATGATGTTGCTTTTTGTAGATAAGTCTTCACCCGGTTCTGGACAAGACCACTTACCACTTGATCAACAAGGAGAGTCTTGCTACAATGAAGAAGGTAAAAGATTTCAAGTTACAAATGAATTTTTTGTCCATGTACAAAGCATCTTTCTTACTCCATGGATATGCTTTCCTACAGGAAGCTATCCTGATAAACTGCAGCAGGGGTCCTGTGGTTGATGAAGTAGCTCTTGTTGAACATTTGAAACAGAATCCCATGTTTCGAGTTGGTCTCGATGTCTTTGAGGTAAAATCCAACTCGAGCTATGTTACATCGATGATCACATCCAGGGCCAATTATCAATCTTGTTATTATTGTGCTAGGATGAGCCTTACATGAAACCGGGTCTTGGTGAAATGAAGAATGCTATTGTTGTGCCGCACATTGCTTCTGCTTCGAAGGTAAACTGGTTCCATGAAAATCACAGGATCTTACGATTTGATCAAGAGCTCTTATTACGTAATGACGTAATGTAGATCTTAACTGATAATCACAAGTAAACATTTTGCAGTGGACTCGTGAGGGGATGGCAACTCTGGCAGCTCTGAATGTCCTGGTAATTTAAGCTTGAAGTTACAAAGTACAATTACTAGGGTACCAAGCAACTTGGAACTAATAAAGCAATGGTTTTCAAATTTCATCATGTTGCAGGGGAAGATTAAAGGGTACCCTGTGTGGCATGACCCAAATCGAGTAGAGCCATTCCTGAATGAAAATGCTCCTCCTCCAGCTGCGAGTCCAAGCATTGTGAATGCTAAAGCTCTTGGTGAGCTTCCTTCTAGCTCTTGTTCTTTCATCATTGCAAGGAATTCCCATTTCTACAACAAAATCTTCTTCGAGCCTTGATAATGACCTTCTCTTGTTGCTCTTCTCGCAGGTTTACCAGTTTCCAAGTTGTGAAAAAAATGCCTGGAATTAAAACCTGCTGCTGCGATCAATATTGTAATCTTTCTCAAATGTTCAGGTGTAGGGCCTCTGCTCTCAACCGTGAAAGGCAATTTACAGCCATTTATAATGTACTCTCTTGATATCGTAAGTGGAACATTAGCGGTATGCGTATTTAAACCCGAAAAATGGCCGATATGCTTGTTTGGTCTCTTCCATGGTATGGTATGGCAGTATGGCTAAGCTAACCAGAAGCTTGTGGTTTCAATAAGACGGTTTTTTTTTTTTTTTGTTAATGGTGATATATATTAATTGGAAAAAACCAAAACAGGGACAGAAAAAAAATCACAGCCGGCTCCGCAGGCTGAAAACAGACGAACCGAAAGGAAACGAGGAAAAAAGAAAAGACCCCTGCTCAAACACCAGCAGAACGTCGAAAACAGCAGGAGGGGAGAAAAAAAGCCCGAACCCACCCAGACAACAACCCTATCCAGTTCCACTTCCGAACCAGTTCCATACAATCAAATAGGACAGTGAAAATACAGGGTAGACAATTAATGTAACAGATGACATAAGCCGCCAGGACGCCTGATGATCAGAGATCGACCTACGAAGTCGACCCGAGATACCAAGAGACCAAAGACTACAGCTCTTCCTCTTGGAGCTGTGAACCCGAAGTCACGATCTGCTGCAAATTGTCGGGGAACAGCTTGATCTTCATTCCTTTGATCCACCTTTCCGCGATCTCTTTATCGACTTTTCCTGCAGTCGTCAACCACCAAAAAATGGTGTATCCAATCTTCATCACAAGTGAAGGGACATGGCACTCCTGATCATTGAACACTCTGTTATTTTTTTCAAGCCAAACACACCAGCAGAAGGCATGTAAGGCTACTCTTGAACACCACTGAGCTGGGTTTCCCGGATTCGCACGCGACCAAAGTCTGATTCTTTCCGATATGTCCAAACCCGCAACAGCACTTTCTTCCAATTTAATAAAGCATTTCAACCTGCCCCAAACCTGATTTGAGAATGCACAGGTGATGAAAATGTGATTTGGGGACTCTTCTTCATTCTTGCAGAGGGCACACCTATTCGGAATGTAGAAACCTTTTTTCTTCAAGTTGTCGATGGTGAGGACTCTTTTGTGGAAGACCAACCATATGAAAATGCAGATCTTACTCGACACGATGCTATGCCAAATCATCTTTGAAGGAAAATCTGTGATTCCCCCGTATTTCGCAGCGGCTAGATGATCGAAGGCCGAATGAACGCTGAAACCAGCTGTAGGGGACGGAATCCACCTTGGTCTTTCAGGTCCTGCAAAAAAGTTTTGAGATGGAATAGAATGAAGTAACTCAAATAACCTCACCCGCTCTCTTTCAGCCCCACCCCGAAGTGAATAAATCAATGGAATATCCCATTGACAATTTCCCTCAGAACAAGAAAGGTAATCAGCAACGGTGGAGTTCGGGGATTCGGCAGCAGCTAGAACTCTCGGGAATTCTTCAGCCAATCGGACGCCCTCGATCCAGGTATCAAACCAGAACGATGTCTAATAACCTTGACTATGCTCAATACGAGTGAGATTCCAGAAAACGGGTTGCAGTTTCGCAATCCTGGCCCAAAGACTACCTCCAACGCTGCCCGATAGACTGCCCGATAACCATTCTGACTGCTGGTTGGGAAACTTGGCCTTAATCATTTCCCTCCACCACGTTCCTCTTTCGGTTGCGAATCTCCAATGCCATTTGAGCAGGAGAGCTTGATTATTTAGTTCCAGGTCGCGAATACCCAAGCCTCCCCTGCTCTTGGCAGTTTTGCAAAGTTCCCAGGAAACAAGATGAAGTTTCTCCCTTTCCCGTGTACCAGACCAAAGAAAATCCCTTTCAATCTTCTCCAAGGAGTTAATGACATTCTTAGGGATTAAGAACAATGAGCTTATGTAGTTACTTTGGCTTGCGAGCACCGAGTTGATAAGTACAACTCTCCCTCCCAATGATAGAAATTTCCCTTTCCAGCCTTCCAGTCTTGACTGAGTTTTCAACACAACGTTGTTCCAATGTGCAGTGGGAGGAGATTGACACCCGAGAGGCAAAGCAAGATACGTTGTCGGCAAGAAAGCCCAATCACAGCCAAATATTTCCACCAGTCTTTCGATATTAGCAACCTCACCCACCGGGAAAATTCTCGATTTCTCAAGGTTTACCTGCAGGCCAGTAATCGCTTGGAAACAGATCAGAGCAGCCAACAAGCTACGGACCTCGGCTTCATTTGCTTCACAGAATAAGATGGCATCATCCACATAAAGTAGATGTGTGACCTCTCCAATGTGTCTTTCTTCATTGATACATAATCCCGTCATTGACTCGCTATGACACAACACCTAACAATGGCCAAGCGTAACCAATGGAAGGGATTGCAGTATAGTGGCTCAAGTGATAAATATCGAATCCACGGGTCTCTAGAGTTACTATTACTCAGCTTCAGTTTATTATTTAGCAAACCAGATCAAGATGAAAGAACTAAAACTACTCTAGCAAACTACAGTTAAAGTTAATCTAATTACAGGTTGGGAACTCACTTAGGTATGATTCCCCCTAGCCACTAGCCAGACTAACGATTGATGATTTCTAACTTGTTTCACTTTCATTCACAATGCGGAGAATCCTTGACTAGACCTTGAGTCTCGACTAAAGGAATAAGGCCCTCTTGAGTCAATTGCCTAGAGGGACGTATCCTTCTCTAGAACAACTGATCAAGGCGTTCTAAACTAGACTCCCTCTATCGAAAGAGGTTCTCAATCGATACAAAGCAGTGAATCAACCCTCGACTAAAGCAATCGATCCACTACTATCAATCTATGGTGCTCTATTGACCTAATCAGGTATTCCCTCTCATAGGATCAAAACAGAATCAATAATCTCGACTAAAGCAGAATTGAATCATGAAAACATGCATAGATTGAATATGAACTCAAGATAATCAAGTCAGAGTACTCATACAATCATCCAATTAAACAAACATAGCTAGGGTTCCTCAAAACCTAAGTGAAGGGAAGTTACTCCATAGAGAAGAGAGAGACTGCAGTAAGAATCTTCAGATGATCAGTCTTCAAGTCCGGGCTTCTTCCTCGAGCTTCCAAGGCAAAGAAATCCTCCAATTCCACTCCAAGAATGCCCTCAAATCGCCCTCTCTCTCTTTGGTTCGTCCCTTGGGTGTTTGGGATCCAAAACCCAGCTCTCTCCTTTCCTTTTGGCTGAAAATCTGCTTAAAAGGGCATCAGTGGCCAAAGCACGGTCGAGGGCACGGCCGTGTAATGCCTCAGCCCGCCCGTGCTTTGGCTAGGGTTAATTACACGGCCAGTTCATTGGGAGAAACACGGCCGTGCTTTGGAGAGAACACGGCCGTGCTTTGGGAGAACACGGCCGTGCTTTCAGCCCGTGTAATCAGCTCATGTTTGCCAAACTCGAATTAGCTCTCGGCAGTAAAAGCACGGCCACAGAACACGGCCGTGTAATGAATTAGGTGTGACCGTGTTTTGTCTCCAGCTCGACGAAATGACTTCCGAATGCCCCGAAACTCGTGCTTAGCCTTTCCTTTGACGTCTGGGACCTGAAATATGACAAAATAGCACAACCCGGCGTAAAATAGGCCAAAAGTACACGACTATGCACCTCAAACGGATAAGAACTAGGGGCGCAAATATGTGCAATTACATCGTTATCAGTCATAAGCCCTTCTTTCCTTATTTCACAGAGAATAAATGAAAGTATATCCATACCGATATTAAAGAGGAAGGGCGAAAGAGGATCACCGTGTTTGATACCACGACTCATACCAAAAAAACCGGTTGATTCTCTGTCAACCAGGATGGAGAGCCTGGAAGATGACAGCAATCCTTCAAGCCATTTCAGAAACCTCGGATGCAAACCCAAATGAGTTAATGAGTTCAAGATGCTCTTCCAGCTAATAGAGTCAAACGCCTTTTCAATGTCTAGCTTGATCACAAGACCCGGTTTCCCACTTCTTCTACGACTGTCAATTACTTCATTGGCAATCAAACAAGATTCATGGATCACTCTACCCCTTTTTCCTGCAAACTGATAATCAGAAATTAGTGTGTTCATATGGGGCAGAAGGCGGTTGAACAGAACCTTTGCAATGATTTTATTTAGACTTCCAAGTAGGCTAATCGGACGGAAATCAGACACCAGTTCGAAGGGATCCTTTTTCGGCAATAGACATATGAAGGTATGAGCTGTCGATTGAGGAAGAGTGCCAGCAAGGAAGAAATCATCAAATGCCTCTCTACTAGGACAACTGTTAAACCTGCCAAGCAATCCCACGACATATGCAATGTCTGGTCGAGTGTAATCCGCAGCATAACGGAGACTGCCAATGATGCTAGCATATTCTGATTGTCTTACACTGTCTCCATTGTTCTTAAATAGCTTTACACTCGCATCATACGGAGTACACGGAGGTTTACAGCCGAAATAGTTATATTTCTTCAAGATCTTCTCTATGTAGCTAGATTGATCTAGAGAATAACCATTTGCTGTTCTGGTTATCTAGATTCCAAGCATAAACTTTGCTTCTCCCAGATCTTTCACCTCAAAGCTCTCTTTCAATATGGCTTTTGCTTCATTGACCACGTGAATATTTGTACCAAATATCAACATGTCATCTACATACAAACATATGATAGTGCAAGTGTTATTTTCTGACTTGCAGTAAATACACTTGTCACTTTCATTCACCTTAAAGCCATGTGAGAGAATGAGAGTGTCAAACTTCTCATGCCACAGTTTTGGAGCCTATTTCAAACCATATAACAATTTGTCTAATTTACAGACTTTCAAGGCATGTTCGGGGATAACAAACCCTTCTGGTTGTTCCATATAGATTTCTTCATCCAGATCACCGTTCAAAATAGCGGTCTTAACATCCATTTGGTGTACCACGAGATTGTTCAAGGCAGCAAGAGCAATCATTACACGAATGGATGTTATTCTTGATACTGGTGAATAGATATCGAAGAAATCTATATTCTCTCTATGCCTGTAGCCCTTAACTACTAGGCGAGCTCGGAACCTTTCGATTGCACCATCAGGTTTCCGTTTCGTTTTAGAACCCATTTATTACCTAAGACTTTGCAGCCAGGAGGTAAGTCTGTTAGATGCCAAGTCTTATTAGTTTCTAACGATTCCATTTCATCTATAACGGCCTCATTCCAAAAATCTGCATCTATCGAAGTTAATGCTTCCTGCAAACTTTTTGGATCTTCTAGGGTGTATACTGTAGTAAAGTCATCACCAAAATCTTTAGAGATTCTAGCTCTTTTACTTCTTTTGAGTTCATCCACAGAACCAACACCCCCACTAGTTCCGTTATCTCTAATAGCGGGTAGTACATTACCCCCACAATTTCTCGTTTTAAATGGAAATCGTGTCTCAAAGAAATCAGCATCAATGGATTCTATTATAGTACGAGCATTCAAATCATAGAATCTATATGCCTTACTATTGGCCGCATAGCCAACGAAGACACATTCATATGCTCGACTAGCCAACTTAATCCTCTTAGGATCCGGAATTCTTACGTAGGCCAAACAACCCCACGTTCTTAAATAGGACAAATTAGGTGGCTTATTCTTCAAGATCTCATAGGGTGATTCTTTTCTATTTGTTTTTGGAAGACGGTTTAGCACATAGCAAACCGTCAACAAAATATCACCCCACCAAGAAGAAGCAGCTACAGAATTGAGCATAATAGCCACAACTAATTCTGTAAACGTCCTATTTTTCCGCTCAGCTTTACCATTCATTTCTGGTGAATATGGTGCCGTGGTTTCATGAATGATACCATGTGAGCTATAGAATTCCTTGAAGGGATTAGAGTCATACTCTGATCCTCTATCACTCCTAAGTCTTTCTATCTTTCGATTGCACTAATTTTCAAATTCAACCACAAATACCTTGAACATATCAAGGGCTTTACTTTTGTTTTTCATCAAATAAACAAAGCAATAATCAGAGCAATCATCTATAAAAGTGATAAAGTATCTCTTGCCAGACATAGTTAACGTCCCATCTAGTTCACAAATATAAGAATGAATCAGATCTAAGGGTTCTGATTCTCTACTCATAGATTTATGGGGCGTTTTCGTTATTTTAGCTTGGCTACAGAAATCACATTTATCAAATTCATTCATTGAGAGTTTAGGGATATGTCCTAGCTTGCTTAAATTCTTCACAATTCGTGTGTTCACATGACAAAGAAGAGCATGCCAAACATTCAAATCACACACCATGTAAACTGAAGAATTCATCTTATTAATTTCGACATTCAACTTGAACATCCCATTACATGCATATCCCTTTCCCACAAAACTCCCATTCTTAGTAAGGGTATACAAGTCTGCCCCAATAGATTGACACAGAGCGAGAGATAGAAGGATTGTTGAAGTAACAGGGGCGGTTTGTTTGATCGGTGGCGACATTTCCAAACGGCAGTTCTGACGGCAGGGAATGATGGCTCGCAGAGGGGAGCTTGACAATGGTGGCAGGGGTTGTGATTAGCAGGGGGTGGGAACAAACTTAAGGGGAGGAAATTGGAAGAGAACTCGATGAAGTGGCTTGCTAGGGAAATGGGTTGAGAATGACAAAAAAGGCCTTCCGCAGTTTGTGGGCTGTAGAGTAGCGGCTGACGTGTCAGAATTTTTCTCCTGACATTCCCTTATATTTATGTGTAGATTCATGCGACCCATCTGTAGTCGTCACATGAGCAGATGATAGAGGAGTAGAAAATAAAAAGGTGTCAATTGGGCAGGTCTGAGTCGAGTTAAATCGGGTTGCGGGTTGGTTGGGTTGCGTGTTCTTCGGGTTGCGAGTTCATCGGTTTGGGTTCAATCCAGTGGCGGACCTAGAGATTATATCAAGGGTATTCAACGATAAAACAAAATTATTAAGGATTGTCAAACAATTTTAAGTTCAAATTCTTCCATTACTAATTTATATCCATATACAAAATCTAGACAAGATACTAAGATTATAAATAACAGTTTATGGGAGATGGAAATCGGGCTTAATATTAAAGGAATTGAAACGTTGGTGGGTCGAATTGGGGGGAATTTTCCCTCATTAGATTTTCATTTTGGTAGGGACAAATTGTAGAGTGAAAGCAAAATGAGAAGAACGAAAAGTGCGGAGGAAAATATTGGAGAAGTGAAAAGTTGGGATGGAGATGTCAAAATGAGAGGGGAGAAGTTTCCCACTTAAATGAAAATGAGGTGGGAGAAGTAATGAGTAAGATTAAGTTTTCAACCTAAATGTAAAATAATATGCATTTGAGATAGGATAAGTCTTTACATGTTCTCAAATCTACTATCAAATTAGTCATGCAAATCTACTATCAAATTAGTCATGCCTAAAAGCTATAGTATGGTTTGGTATAGAGTATAGACAATATTTTAGTCACTAAATGTTACACTCTTAAATCATCATATGTAAACATTGTGATAATCAAATTGATAAGTAAATAATCATATGTAAACATTGTGATAAGTTTTCTCTCTTCTTTCTCTTAAAAAATGAAAATACAAAATTGTCCCCTAATTTTTCTTTTCATAAATAAAAAACATCAAAATTTTCCACCCTTTTCTCTTCCTATAAATCAAAAGCACCAAAACTTGAAGCACCAAATTTCATCTTTTTTTTTCCTCTCAAAAAGTTGAAAACATCAAAATTTTCCACTTTTTTCTCTTCCAATAAACCAAAGCACCAACATTCACCCTTCTTTCTTTTCCCAAAACTTGAAGCACCAAATTTCCCTCTTTTTTTCTTCAAAAAGTTGAAACACTAATATTTCCCACTTCTTTCTCTTCCTATAAACTAAAACATCAAAACTCCCCTTCTTTCTTTTCCCAAAAGTTTAAGCACCAAATTTCCCTCTTCTTTTTTCCCCAAAAAGTTGAAAACACCAAAATTTCTCACTTCCTTTTCTTCCTATAAACCAAAGCATCAAAAGTCCCCCTTATTTCTTTCTCTTATTTCTTTTATTAAAAATACATAATTTCAACTAAATATAATTTTTTGAACTTTCCTTTATAAAATAAAAAATAGTTTTACTTAGTCTTACAACAAACAAACTTCATTTGAAAATATATAATATATAATCTAATAATTATTCGGGTCAATCGGGTGGGTTACAGGTTAGTCGAGTTCGGGCCAATCGGGTTACAGGTTTAATTGGTTTGTGGGTCAATCAGATTCGGGATAATCAAGTTTCGGGTTATTCAGGTTATGGGTTAACCAGGTCACGGGTCAATTGAGTTGCGGGTCGGGCGGGTTGCGGGTCGTTGACTTTTTGTCAAATTGGGTTGCGGGTCGGGTTAGTCGGGTGGGTTAGTCGGGTCGGGTTCTGTTTTGACACCTATAGAATGAGCATGAATGCCTTTAATTTGGGGCACTAGCACGGAGCATGTAGGGATGGCAAAAAGGATCCACAATTTGGGTTTTCCCTAAACTCAATTTATTATGAGCCAAATCAAGTTTGAATAATATCACTTTTTGGTCACACCCATATTCCACCATTTAGTTTAGTATAAACTAGATTCATTACATTGACTACCCAATAGAAATTAGAAAATGAATATCCAACTCTAATGTGATTTTTGACTATTTCTTTATTCTAAAACAAACATAAAAGTAGAAACACCAACAATGAGTGTGTGTATTGGTTGAAAGTGAATAGTTAGTTGAACGATATTGTTTTTGGTATGTATAATTATATAGACTGAAGTAGACCCATTTGGGTTCGACCCAAATACTCATAGTCATATGGGTCATGATAATTGGGTCCAATTACCCTACAGGTATACCCATTGCCATCCCTAGGAGCATGGATAATTTTTCTCTCTCACCATCGTCCATTTTGACTCCTAATGAAGCAGACAAGTAGAATCCCCACAAGTCTTCACATTTTCCCCTCTGACACAGAGCAACACCTCCCCAAACCGCCATAAACTGAATCCATCATAGAGTAGACCCCTCAACACCAGCTCGTGGTCGTGGAGATGAATCCTATATTGGGGAAGGGGAAACAATCAAGGGAGTTGCTGGATCTATCAAATCCCCACCAGCAAAAGAATCTGACAAGTCGACGATAGAGCTCAGGGAAGATGGCAAAAGGCTTTGTCAAATTCGAGGATCCAAAACCTGATGACAATGACGCAGATGGCACACGACATGGAGAGTTCGGCGGTGGCGACATGTCTTTTTCGTTTGCTATGTGTCTATCCAACTCAACATCTTAATGCTTAGTCAACATTACTAATAGAACTATTAATGAAGAGTTAACGTTTGGCTAATTATTTGTATTTCTATAAGTTTGCCTAATATTTTAGAATGCACCAAAGATCTGACTAATAAATAGTATTTACCCTCAAAAATAAAAAATTCCTACAATACACAACCTTTTATTACTATTTGCCAATCTACCTTACTTCTGCGTCCAGAGCAATTTAGTAGGAATTGCTGGACTCTCAAGCGAAAATGGTTTTGTTGGGGATGTTACTAAACCCACCCTGCAAAAACTAAGTAGTAGCGCACTTGCATGGTGGTGCACTAGCATGGTGAGCTTAATCTTGACATAAATTGAGACTAAGTAGTAGCGCACCAACATTGTGGTGCGCTAGCAGTGACGCCCAAGCTAAAATGAGACTAAGTGGTAGTGCACCACCACTATGGTGCACTAGGATTGTGGTGCACTACCATCACCCAACCTGCCGAGCAACCTTCCGTGCCACGTCTATATAAGGGCTTCCAAGCCATCCGAAGAGAGGCCTCTTCTTCTCTTCCCTCACTTTACACTTTAACTCTCTCTCTCTCTCTCTCTCTCTCTCTCTCTCTCTCTCTCTCTCTCTCTAGACACTTGATCTCTCTACATTATTCCCTCAACCTGCTCTGAATATCAACTAACTTGATCGTCAGAGACTAATTCGGGGGGCATCCCCGTCTTCCACAGGTTCCTTCCCTCCCGACGAGATCAGACGAACGAATCGTGAGCCAAGCCCACACCAACAAATCATTATTGTTCATATCCAGAGCTAGATGGTACAAACAATTGGCGTCCATCGTGGGGCATGATTCCCCAACTCGATCGTTTGATTTCTGGAGAGTGTGAGCTCTAGATCTTGAAAATGCAGAAGCTTCATCGAAACAAAAAAAAAACCCCTACCAAAATCCTTCTTTTATCCATTCTCCCAACCCTTCACGCAAACAAGATATGTCCAAACCATCTTCATCGTCCTCCAACCCAGCATATCACACAACATCATTTTCGAATCTCCGGCCAAATGACAAGGTTTCTCCTCTTCAATCGAAGTAACCCTCATATGGAGAACCCCAAACCATGGTCCCATCCACTCACATCTGCCGACAAAGGTCGTCGTTGCCACCATGCTTAGCCTAGCTGATCATCTCCTCTGGCCTTGGGCCGACATTCTTTCATACTCCACTCGCCAAGGGATTCACAAGACAATCGTCACCACCATCCACCATACAAAAACCTCTATGGAAACTCAAATATGGCTCTCTCTGAGTCCCAGCAGAAAAACAAGACTTGAAGTTCCAGATTCCGACCGTCAGAAATGGTCGGGGTCAGAGTTCTGGTGAGAAAAAGAAGAAACCGGTGGTCGCCATCACCAGTAGCTGTCACGTCACACTATGGTTTTCCCCAAAAGTCTTCGACAACTACCCCCTAAAATAATAATAAAAAAAGAGATCGTATCTCTATCAGAAGAAGCAGACGACAGAGTTCATGGAAAGGCGGGGTTGTCGAGGTAGCTTTTACCTAAGTCTGGCGTAAGACTCGAAACATCACAGAGACGAAAGGGAAGGAAGTGACTCCAACCGCACTAAGAACGAAGCCAAGTGCGACCCGCTCTATCCTTCTACCGATCCTTCCCTTGGACGATAACGCGCTTCTGACTTCCCCTCTCTATGTCCTCTCCACTAGCGTGTCATTTTTCCGCGGAAAGGGCTCTGCTATCTCCACCTCCGCCGTTGCTCAACCGCCCATGCACGGGTTGCTATGCCGCCACCGTGTCACCGATCGCTGCCCAAGGATTTACAAAGAAGTTGAGGAAGCCATGTTCTTGGGCCCTGTTCCTGCTCTCGTCAACAGCGACGGAGCGCTTCGGATTTCTTCCATCTCCCGCTGAGCGATTGGTCCTGCTCCATCACTACTCGGATCCAATTTTGCGGCGAGCTCTGTTCCGCCAATACAAACACTCCTGCAAGCACAACACCCTCCACAGCAATAACGAATGCCACAACCTCGATCCGGACCTTCGCATCTTCCGCTGAGCGTAGCTTCTACCGAAGCGTGCGAATGCTTAGCCACCACATCCGAACTCCAAAGGACACTTTTCATCTTCACCAGTACAGCCGACCGCGTCACCTGTCGCCGCCCAACCATTCACCTCTGTCAGCGCCGTTAGCCACATCCGCAAATTGAAAAGAAAAAAATGCCTAACGCCTGCAAGGATGAAAAGAGAAGCACTCGAAAGTAAAACAGAAGGGCGGAAGATTGTCTTTGCTTCAACCCTATGTCGGGCCCATTTCACGCACCCCCTCCATCACCTGCCTCCAATTCCGCACAATAGACAACTCTTATAATACGAACCCCGCCTTCAACAAAGCCCGCCAATATTAGCCCACAAGCGCGCGACCCGCTCCATTACTCTGCCCATGTCACCAACTTCGTGGCCTGACTCACGCCGCCGTCCAAGCACACAATCAGTCTCTAAACGCGTGGGCCATTCTCGCGGCATGCAAATCACATCCAATGAACCTGCATAACTTGGCCCGATCCGCCTCACTAGACCCAGTAAGCTTCAAGCAATATGCCATCCTATTATAGATAAAGATTGCTTTCGCCGTGATTGGAACCCGCGCCACCACTTTATTACCATCAAAGCACGTTGACCATTATGCTACAAGGTCTGCTTATGCTCCTAAGCACGACATCATCTTATTAATTCTCTTCAGTTTAAAGCTAAGTACTTCACTTCTCTAAATCATGTTATTTAATTTCATTTTAAATAGTTTACTCATTGAGCCCTAATGGGGGCATGATGTACCAAGATAGTTACGAGCACCACCCAAGACATGATCGCACCCTGCCTCCATTCACATTACGTGCGGCTACTCAAGCGTACTTTGTACGTGCGGCTACTTACGCTCACTTTATACGTGCATCTAGTAATGCACTTTATAAGGGAGCGTTCGACTATCTTCATTCATGTAAGTCTCGACGGAAGCGCGCAAATAAGTCTTCGACAAGAGCATTGGTATCTTCATTCTCGTAAGTCTCTACGGAAGCGCACAAATAAGTTTTCGACAAGAGCATTGTTATCTTCATTCATGTAAGTCTCGACGGAAGCGCACAAATAAGTATTTAACAAGAGCATTGGTATCTTCATTCATGTAAGTCTCGACGGAAGCGCACAAATAGGTCTTCTTTAATCCATATATTTTACTTTAATAGAAATTTTGTTCTAGTACTGAATAGGTTACTAACATCCTCTGGTGTTAGCACCATGCTAACATAATTCGTTAAAAATATTATATAGTAACTAATCACTCATAAGAGCAACCCTCTTGGCCTCTTGTGCCCTATATTCCTTAAATTTGGATTTCATGGAAAAATTATACTTTGATACCTAAACTTAATAGATGCTAAGATTTAGTACTTAATTTTTTATAGAAGTCCTAAAGATATATGAAACTAAAATTTTTATGCCTTACATTTTGATACCTAACAATTGAAAATTTACAAATACGTCCAAGTTTACGAAGTTTCTAGTCTACTCTAAGAAACTTGTGGTATGCTTCTATGAGGTTTCTAGTATGATTTGAGAAACTTGTGGTATGCTTATAAGATTTAAGGTTATCTTTATGATATTTTCTCGTACGCTTTAAGAAACTTGTGGTATGCTTTATAAGGTTTTTGGTATGCTTGAGGGAACTTGTGATATGCTTTAAGAAACTTGTGGTGTGCTTTTATAAATTTGGTATGCTTTAATGATCTCATGATATGTTTTATGAGGTTTTTGGTTTGTTTCAGGGAGCTAGTGGTATGCTTTAAGAAATTTGTGGTGTGCTTTTATGATCCTGTGATATGTTTTATGAGGTTTCTGGTTTGTTTCACGGAGCTAGTGGTATGCTTTATAAGCTTTATGGTATTTGTGGTGCGGTTTATGAATTTTGTGTGTGGTTAGGATTTGGTATGCTTTATAAGCTTTATGGCGAGGTAAAGTTCGTGATGGGATAGCGTCACTTCCCCCCTAAGGGGATTGTGAATTTCGCTACCCACCTAGTAACCTTTAGATCCATAATCTTTTCTTCTTTTCTGAATTGACGGTTGAGATTAGGATAAGGGCAAAATTGGATGAAAAAAACAATAAATCACATACAATCATTAACCCCTCATAACTCTACATATACACACCTCATCTCTCCTCGAACCATACAAACCCTTCTTCTTCTTCCTCCCTCTCGCGACAACCACCATCCCTGCTCCCACCACCGCTGCCATGTTGCCGGGATGAGTGCAGGTTCTTAAGCCACCAAACTTAAGAAGTTGCTTAAGTGAATGCTGGCCATTAGATCAATCTAAGGCAGTTATAAATTAGTTAGTGGTTACAAGTGGTTATTGGTTAGTTAAGGTTAGTTAAGGAATTTTAATCAATTTAAACTTAATCTGTTTTAATTTACTCCGAACGAAATAGAAATAGTCAGTCTGTTGTTTAAAGGTAGGGTTTTTTTGGCCAGGTTCCTCCGTTTTTCTTTCCCGGAGACTTACCTTCCATCTCTACAGTCTTCTACGGCCGCATCCCTCTATATTAAAGCTTTCCAATTCAAAGATAGAGAGAGGGAAAGCAAATAAAGAAGAGGTTCATTCTATTAATTACAGGGAACCCAATAGCTTCACAATCTCCATAGCGGTTTCTCTTCCGGGCTCCGACCATTGAGCAAATCCAGTTGAAGAGATGGAAGCCGGAGGGCTCGAGAGATGGAGAGTTCATGGCGGACGGTTTTGATGTTTCGATTGTTTGGTGATAGATATGAATATCATCTTAGTTTTTGTATATGTTGTTGTTAACATATTATTACTTACATTAAAAATGATGAGATATCGTTAATAATTATTTCGTAAAATGTTAAGAAGTATTTAGAAAATGATAATGATAGCATTTTATATCATTAAACATTAACAACGTCGCCCTTCGTAAATAATTTAATTTTTAATCATTGTTAATATTTTATGATAAATTGCATAATGACGAGATATCTTTAATAGTGATTTTGTAAAATGCTAACAATTATTTACAAAAATGATACTAATGATATTGTATATCATTAATGATTTATTAGTATATATAGTTAATAATCATTAAATTTTGTCATTATTGTGAATTTTGCTTGCATTTTTAACATAATGACGAGATATCTTTACTTGGTTGGCTTTTCAGGGCAAGATTGCAACCAATGCTCTCCGTTTTCAGAGGAGGATCGCAGACTCACCAACTTGCTTGTGGTGTACAGGACAGCCCGAGACGGTTCTGCATATCCTGAGGGATTGTGCACCAGCGCTGTTTTTCTGGTCCAGGCTCGTGCCACAGTAGAAACAACATGAGTTCTTCAACGCCCCTCATGAGGTTTGGTTCCGTAGCAACCTCTTGAGCAAGACGGCGACCAACACAGGTATTAATTGGCCTGGTTTCTTTAGCATGGCCTGTTGGTTATTATGGAAGAATCGCACCACTATGGCGTTCAAAGGAATTGGTGCTGCGCTGGCCACACCTTCTCTCTTGCATTCTATTATGGTTAAGAGCAAACTCTGAAATGACTCCTGGCACGCCCTGATCTCTTCACCAACCGCACGAAGCAAGGGGTTACGCGGGTTATGACGGCTATCAGTTGGGCGCCCCCTGCGAAGGGTTGGGTGATGGTGAACACTGATGGGGCTTCTAATGGAAACCCAGGTCCAGCGGGTGCTGGCGAGGTGGTTCGAGGCCCGCTAGGTAATTGGTTGGGAGGCTTTGTGGCAGGTATCGGCTCGGCTACTGCTGTGTTGGCAGAACTTTGGGCGATTTATTATGGCTTGGAGCTCACTTGGAAGCTTGGTCATCGAGTGGTGAAGTTAGCTTCGGATTCTCAGCTTGCGATTCAGTTGATTCAGGAACGTCATGATCCCATTCATCCTTATGCGACCCTCTTGAATCTTATCCGCAGGAAAAGCGGACAGGATTGGTTAGTTAGCCTGACTCATACATATCGCGAAGGGAATAGAGTCGCGGACTGGCTCTCGAAGCACAGTCTCGTCTATCCCTACGGGATGTGTGAGCTGGTTGATCCACCTATGGGAGTTGTCCCGCTTTTGCAGGATGACATTATGGGTGTTACCTTTGAGCGTTGGGTTGTGGCGAACTCCTCCTCTACTAGTTAATCCATCTCTGTAATCTTTCTTGTTCTTGGCTTCGACCTCCTTGATATTAAAAAAAAATCTTAGTTATCAATAATTTACAATATAGTTATTAACCGTTAGAGATCATCTTTCAACAATAACCATATGAAAGTTTTGGATGGTATTTGAGTTTTAACATTGAGTCCAAACATTATTTGATATGATCCAAATTGGCCACTTCTACATGTCACAATTACTTGCCAAAGAAGCTATCAAGGTTGGAAAGAACTTGGGCAGAATTTGGCTAAGTCAAAATCCGTGTTCAGGGTACATACTTTGGAGGCATGGTTCTCTCAATTGGCTTGGTGGAAATTCCATTTTAAAAGTTTGTTTTGCATATAAAGTTGCCATCTTTCCAATGGTATGCTTTGTGAATCCAGATGATGTCATTAAGGTTGTTTTTCAAGGCCTCAAAGTTGCTACCTCAAAACTGGAAAACTGCCAGAAAATGGTTAAGTCTGGAAACTGTTTTGTGAAGCCTACTTTGGAGCTCAATTCAAGGAGCATGGATCTGATTCGAGACCAAAGGCTTCTACAACATGAAAATAGGAATGTTTATCTACCAAGGGAAGGAATCGGATGAAAGATCGAAGTTCTAGAAGGCCTTGTACGAAAGGTGTGAAGTTAGTACGAAAGCTGCTTTTTTGACTGTTTGCTGGCAGCTTACTTGCACTTGAAGAAAGAGAGTTTAAATCCGAATTTTGAGTCCTTTTTAGAGTAGATTTTTACCTTAATTGTTTCCTACTTCTATTAGGTTTGTATTAGGTTTATTTGCCTTTAAATACCTTTCTACTTTCGTTGTAAAACTAAGACTTTGATTAATCGAAATTGAGAACCGTTTGGTTTGTGCAAGTTGCGACTTGTTTTGGATTTGGTGGATTCCAAACTTGCTGAGCTTGTGTATCGATTGAATAGTCACTTCAATCGTGGTCGAGCAACTACCCTTTTATACCAATCGAGCTATCCCCAGGTGTGGATTTGTCCTTTTGGTTCCGTTTTATCCCAAGTTCGTATTAAGAGCGCTTCGTTCTTGATTCGAGCTCAATCGATTCTTCGATTGAGTCGTTTGCTGCGTTACTTTGATAACATACACCCCCCAGGGGCGTATCAAGTGGTATCAGAGCCCCGTTCAACACGGGGAAGAAGAAGAGCAAGCAATCCAATTGCTTGATTGTCGAAGGAAGGCATGGAAAAACAAAACCTTATCTATTGTCGTTGTAAAGTCGAGGAGAAACTTCTGCTGACGGTGATTGATGAGGACAGCAAGCACAACTTAGTGAGTGCTTATGCCGTGTCCAAGCTAGGGCTGCGCACATAGAGACATCCATCTCCTTATTGGTGGCAAAATTCGCAAGAAGAACTCCCTTACTTGGTAACGAAGCAAATCTGTTTACAAGTTTCCATTGGTTCGCTTACAGATTCGATTTGTTATGATGTTTTGCCTCTGCAAAGCGTCCATATGGTGCTAGGGCAGCCTTGGACAGACGAACGCCAGGTTGCAGTAACAGGAGCAGGCCCTAAAGCTCGAATCTACACTCGAGAGCATAGCTATGCTTTGAAGGTTCTGCTTCCGGAAGAGTCAGCTCGGGATCGATCTTCTGTTCGACAAACACAGGCAGATGAGACTTCTACGTCTTCCATTGAAGTTGTTGAGGGTGTCCAGGAAGCGTACCAGCCATCATTGGTAGCCAAGGAGTCGTCAATGGGAGGCAAAACCGCTCAGACTCTGCTCGGCAATAAAAGTCCCTGTTTTCCTCCCGCGAAACAGAGGTCGCGTTCAGCAGCTGATGACGTCAAGTTGGAGGGTGATTCGAAGGAGGAAGCTGATCGTGGAACGCTTCTGGAAGTTCAGGGAATAGTTTTCCCCATGCCAAGCGCTCCAGGTCAGCAAGGAATTGAAGAAGTTGAGTCTTCAGCCACCATCAGACCCTGTTCTTCCTCAAGAAAACAGAGCAGGAAAGAGGGAAAGGTGGGTGGCGATCTCGGAAGGGAGTCGAGCCAATCCAATCCGCCCAAAACATTACCTACAGAAGCAGGAAGCTCTCTCATCGATCAAACTATTTCGAATCGATCTGTGTTTCAAAATCAAAAGCGAGATCAAACTCCTCTGGAAACGCGGAAACAAGAAGAAAAATTCGTTGAATTGGTTGCAGTGTTGGAGGACAATTCGAACCAATCCAAAGCTGTCGAAACGTTCCAAAAGACCCCAGGAATCTTTCCCATAGAGATAATCGACTCGAAAACGCCTAGATTGAAAGATCAAAATCGAGTTTCACTACCTCTGGGAACGCAAGAACAAGCAGACGAAATAGCTCAATGGGTTGGGAAGTTTGGAGCTGATTCGACACAATCGGATGATGCGAAACCCTCAAGATTGATCCCAGGAATCTGTAGGAAGGAGCAATTCGACTTGGAGCTCCTTGAGTCAGAAACGCCCAATTCTGAAATCAAAATTCTGGTTTCCCGGAATTTGAGTTCCTACGACGGCGGGAAAAACCCAGATGACGATTCGACGCGTTCCAGAAACAATCGAGGCTGGTAATCGATCGGGAAGTATAATTCAATGGTGGAGCAAGCTGATTCGAGCAGTAGATTGCAGATTGGAGGCTCGAATCCTTGCCGTTCAACTTTCGACGACTTCCCCGAGTTCGTCGCAAAGCTGCGGAGTATCGTGAAGGTTCTGGCCGCGTTCCCAACGTTGATCATCGTCAATATGGATCAGGGCAGTGAATTAGAGGAGCACATGGCTTTGGTTCTGTTGAAATCCTCGACCAAAGGGAGCCAAGATGAATGCAGTGGACGTTTGAAGGCCATTGGGACATGTTTGCGATTCAATCTTGATGACCCATTTTGGGATCCTTTTGATCGTGTGATGGTTTATCGAATCATACAAGCTTTGAGGGCAAAGATTTTTGAAGAGGGGGAGCCTGATATGATCCAAATTGGCCACTTCTACGTGTCACAATTACTTGCCAAAGAAGCTATCAAGGTTGGAAAGAACTTGGGCAGAATTTGGCTAAGTCAAAATCCGTGTTCAGGGTACATACTTTGGAGGCATGGTTCTCTCAATTGGCTTGGTGGAAATTCCATTTTAAGAGTTTGTTTTGCATATAAAGTTGCCATCTTTCCAATGGTATGCTTTGTGAATCCAGATGATGTCATTAAGGTTGTTTTTCAAGGCCTCAAAGTTGCTACCTCAAAACTGGAAAACTGCCAGAAAATGGTTAAGTCTGGAAACTGTTTTGTGAAGCCTACTTTGGAGCTCAATTCAAGGAGCATGGATCTGATTCGAGACCAAAGGCTTCTATAACATGAAAATAGGAATGTTTATCTACCAAGGGAAGGAATCGGATGAAAGATCAAAGTTCTAGAAGGCCTTGTACGAAAGGTGTGAAGTTAGTACGAAAGCTGCTTTTTGACTGTTTGCTGGCAGCTTACTTGCACTTGAAGAAAGAGAGTTTAAATCCGAATTTTGAGTCCTTTTTAGAGTAGATTTTTACCTTAATTGTTTCCTACTTCTACTAGGTTTGTATTAGGTTTATTTGCCTTTAAATACCTTTCTACTTTCGTTGTAAAACTAAGACTTTGATTAATCGAAATTGAGAACCGTTTGGTTTGTGCAAGTTGCGACTTGTTTTGGGTTTGGTGGATTCCAAACTTGCTGAGCTTGTGTATCGATTGAATAGTCACTTCAATCGTGGTCGAGCAACTACCCTTTTATACCAATCGAGCTATCCCCAGGTGTGGATTTGTCCTTTTGGTTCCGTTTTATCCCAAGTTCGTATTAAGAGCGCTTCGTTCTTGATTCGAGCTCAATCGATTCTTCGATTGAGTCGTTTGCTGCGTTACTTTGATAACATACACCCCCCCTAGGGGCGTATCATTATTAATGTTTTTGTTCTTCTTTTCAACGATATATAATTTCGTTATCAATTATTTGCTTAATCATTATTAACGGTTTGGTGCTAGAATATGAATGTTGGTTTGCTTTAGTAATATTTTGCACCTCAATGAACTAATGTATGCTTGACTGAATCACAGGTGCATAATGCCACAATTTTTGAATAGGTTGAAAATAAGGATTGTGCTTTATGATCGCCAAGAACGACAATATAAAGTGATATCATTTGATCACAAACGTTAATAATGTCATTGGAGTCATTGTAAGAGGTCATGATTGACTAGTTATGAACATGAACTGAAAAATGAGAATTGTTAATAAAGATATTGTAGATAAATGATAATGTTATTCAAAATGTCAATGACGATGATCATAATTTAAATAATTCATTTATAAGCAATGACAATAAAATTGTAAATCATTAGCTATTGCAATAAATTCGTTAATTATATAACCGTAAAATATTGATAAGTATATTGAAATCATTAATAATGATGTAATATATCAATAATAATTCATTTCTTAAACATTGATAATGTTATTGCAAAACGTTAATAATGTCATTACAAGTCGTGATGGAGAGAGCGAGCGAGGGAGAGTGTACATTTTTTATTTCCTTTTTTAAAACGTTAAATATTGATTTTCATTTTCATTAAATATTAAGTAATAATATATTAATTTTATCATTTTATATAATTGCAATAAATGGAAAAGGGAGCCATGGGAGTTGGTTTCCTTTTTTAAATATTAATAAAATTAATTATTTCCTATAATTTATGATTTACCCTTTTAGGTAGTTAAACCTCATTATTCTCTCTCCTCTTCCTATTGGCCATCACAAACTTAAGAAACTCCTTAAATTTATATGCTTAAGAACCGGATCCTACCCGCCGTTTGCCCCCCTCTCCCTTCGTTGGCTTCCTCCCACCGGCAAGAGGGATCCGCCCATTGCTGCCGCGTTGCCCCCTCTTTCCTGGCCGCCAGCCTCCTCCTCCACCCGCATCACCATCACTCCGGCGGTGGAGCCGCCACCTCTTCCTCCCACCATCACCGCCACAAGGTCCCTACCGCGAGGTCACAAACTCCCCCTTTCCTCATCCTTCTATTTTTTTCCAGATCTGTAATTTTCCAGATTTCAGATATGGTTTTGTTGTTTTAGACTAGTGGTAGTGACTTTCATCTGGTAGTGTACCACTACCATTTGGTACCTGATATGCTTTACGTATTTGTGGTGTAGTACTTTGTGTTTCTGGTTCGCATTTTGTGGCTCCCAATCTATGCACAACAAACACGTGTGTCTCCCCAATTTAATAATGACATGCGTACCTTTCATTTATAAATTCACATTAATTATTATCAACCCTTTGAAATAAAAGTCATCATAACAAAATGCTAGCAAATTATCCTAACCTCAGCCTACTCTAAACAGAGAAATCGACGAATCATTTTGAAATTTCATCCTAATCACAATTACAAAGAATCATCCTAATCAAATGTCGGAGTGATTACTGGGATCCTTGAATTCTTCCCACAGTACAATTGGAGCAATTCGGGCCAACTTTTAGACGTTAGAAAATAAGTAAAGCCGCAACTAGCGTGGGCCATTAACTCTTCCGAATCCGAAACAAAAGAAACGGATATAGCTCATAATCCAAGGCCCAAAAGGAAACGGCCCAATTACCGGCTCAACCCTGGAGTTTCCGTATAAATAGTTGGCCCTCCCGTCCCTCATAAGTCCTCTCGTTTTTGGCATCTCCTTAACTAGGGGTGTACATGGGTCGGGTGGTTCGGGTTTAGACATTTTAATCACCCGATCCATGCACTACGGTTTGGGAAATATGAAACCCAAACCCACCCAAAAAAATCTAAACCCTACGGTTTGTTTCTAATTGGGTTGGGTCGGGTTGGCGATATTTTTAAGTAAAAACCCAACCCAACACAAAATATGTAATTATTCTACATCATAAAAATATTGTATAACTAATTAAAAATTTCAAACGAATAAACCGAGGTGAAAGGTATCAAAATTCACAAATATTGTTTGAAGTTTAGTAAAACTTGATTTACTTCAACTTATGTCTAGTTTTTTTCACGACATTTGTTGAAATAGGCTAAAAAGGTTACAAATGAACGCATCCATAATATGATATTCTTTTAAACTTGTACAAAAGAAAAAAAATTACGTGAATCATAACTATATTAAATATATGTCTAAACTTTAAGTCAAAGAATGCATTAGATTAGTGAGACTTAAAGAGGAAAACATGGCGAAATATCTTAATTTTCTCATAAGTATGACTATATACGACATAAATATTTTTTTGGATACGAACTCATACCAATAATTGGAACACGGGTTGGGTCGGGTTCTACGGGTTGTGTAATCCAAAATCCAAACCCAACCCAAAAGAGGCGGGTTGTACAAAAGAAAACCCTCACCCAACCCAAAATCTTCGATTTAGCGATAAATACGGGTGGGTTGGGTCGGGTTGGACGGATGGGTCGGTTTGCGGGTGTGTTTGTTCACCCCTATCCTTAACGTTCCAAAGCTGTTCCCTTTTCCGCTGCGCTAGAACCTTCTCGTTTTTCCGTCTTCCCAAACCTAATCCCGGCGACAATGGCTACTACCACCCCTAAGAAGTTCACCCTGAAGTCGTCCGACGGCGAGACCTTCGAGGTCGAGGAGTCAGTTGCCGTCGAGTCTCAGACCATCAAGCATATGATCGAGGACGACTGCGCCGACAACGAGATCCCGCTCCCCAACGTCACCAGCAAGATCTTGGCCAAGGTGATCGAGTATTGCCGCAAGCATGTCGAGTCCGACGCCGAGAAGGACAAGCTGGCTACCTCCTACGACGAGTCTCTCAAGACCTGGGACGCTGATTTCGTCAAGGTTGACCAGAATACCCTCTTCGACCTCATCTTGGTAATGTCCCCTTCCCTCTCTCACTCGGGGTTTCTTTTGATTTCCCCCCGTTGATGCTCAATTTCGGTAGTCCTGCTTCCTCTAGGGTTTGCTCTGCTCAAATTTCGAGTTTTATGTTCTTGAACACCTATATGAACTCTAATAAAACGAATTGCCCTGTGTATTACTAGGGTTTAGGCGAAAGATTCAATTGTCTGTGTTGTTGCCGCCTATATTGGGATTGTGGAATCCCTGCCTGACGTTTCACAATATTGAATGTATTCTAGTAGTGTATGGAGGAGAGTATTCAAATTCAGGGATTGAAGTACCTGCCTGATGTAGGCTATACGTATACATAAATAACGTACTTCTTTTGAAGCTGAATATGTTTCCAATTCTATGAACAATCTATGTTTCCATACTTACACGTTGATGGGTCTAAGCTGTATTAAGGTTTCTAGTTGCTGATGAATGTAACGTTTGGTTATTCACAGGCTGCTAACTATCTCAACATCAAGGGGCTGCTGGATTTGACCTGCCAGACTGTGGCTGATATGATCAAGGGGAAGACACCTGAGGAGATTCGCAAGACGTTCAACATCAAGAACGATTTCACCCCAGAGGAGGAAGAAGAGGTCAGGAGGGAGAACCAGTGGGCGTTTGAGTGATCACCTACTTAGAGAGACTTTGCCATCCCCCATTATCTACCGTTTTATGTCTATATATTAGGAATGTCGATATAAGATTTTAGAGGAATTCAAAACAATCGGGTCTTTTGTTATGCTCAGTGAAGCTCATCTCTTTTGTCCTGAATTTCTCTTCTAGGTTGTTGCTGAACACAGCAGAACCATTTCTTCTCGGTTATGATATGATATATAAGTAGTACATTGGAACCATCATAATTGCAATCCCTCCTTTTCTTTTCTCTTCTCTTGTGTGCAAATTACAGTGCAATCATGGCTGAGTTTAATTCATTCAAGAGGAGGAATTGCAAATGGGGATACGTCGACCCATTATGACACAGGGATTTTATTAGCTCTGCGAGATACTGATTGATTCTCTCACCTTGAACTCCGCCATCATGACTGGAGCTTCCCCGCTTTGAAATGGATTCCTAATCACATTTATCTTAGCAATCTCCAGATTATCCAATATAGTTGCACCTCCATGCGATTGAACACTTGGAGCATCGTATGCTCCAGGAGGATACAGTCTGACCTATATATTGATATCAAGACTCAAATTAACATGAATGAATTGTTTCTGTTTTTGTTTTAATATTTTATCATAAAGTGCTTGTCCCCTCAAACGAGTAAGTGTCTTCTTTTATAAGTATAATCACTTGTTAAATTTCCGACTCCCACGTTTTGGTGGATTGAAACAAGGCATGGAGAACAAATAAAAAAGTTCCGGCTTTAATGGCTTCATATACGAAACAAGGTACAAACAACGAGCACTACTAGAACCATGGCCTGCAACTTGGGGGCCATATCTATAGTTTCTGAGAATCAGTCCTGAGACTTGCTTTGCTGTTCGGAGAACAAGATTCCCAGGTCCTGCAAAAGACAATCGAGTCATGTTGAAATATACATTTGGTAGTATCCCCAGTCCTGAATTCACAAGGATTCAACTAATCAAATCACAAATGGCAGGCTAAGTGCCCAAGTCTATCAAACATCATCGAAAAGGGACAACCGTCCATCTACATAAGAACACACAGCCCACAAGCTTGGCATCTCTAATCTCATATAAATAGTTACCTAGCTAAACTGTTGAAAAATACAATCTCCCATTTGTCGTTTGTTTAATTAGGGAAAAGATGAAATTCACTTCAGCTCTTACTTCATTCTCCCTTGTGCTTCTTCTGACATTAACCACCAGCAATGCCTTGTTGACCTCAATCAAGGAAGCAACCATAGATGAGATCCAGCTGGCATTCAAGCAAAACCAGCTGACCTCAAGGCAACTGGTTGAGTACTACATCTCTGAGATTAATAGGCTGAATCCCATCCTCAATGCGGTCATAGAAGTGAACCCGGATGCCATTTACCAAGCGGATAGAGCTGACTACGAGCGAGCACGAGCCAAGACGCGGAGAGGTTCGATGCTTGGCGGGTTACATGGAATCCCTGTGCTGATCAAGGACTCCATAGGGACCAAAGACAAGCTGAACACAAGTGCTGGCTCTTTTGCCTTGCTTGGTTCGGTTGTGGCTCGAGACGCGGGTGTGGTGGTTAAGCTGAGGCAGGGTGGTGCCATCATCTTAGGGAAGGCTAGCTTGAGTGAGTGGGCTGCTTTCAGGTCGCTCAACGCTCCTAACGGGTTTAGTCCCAGAGGTGGCCAAGGAAAGGTGAGGCTTAGACGGTTCAATGTGTAGTTACTTAAATTTTGTTTGCTAGCAGAAGATTAAAAGTGGCGTTGCAGCATTCTAACATACTAGTAACATGATTTTGGCAGAACCCTTATGTGTTGTCTGCTGATCCTTGTGGGTCAAGCAGTGGATCAGCAATATCAGTGGCAGCAAATCTGGTAGCTGTTTCTATTGGAACTGAAACGGATGGGTCCATTTTGTGCCCATCCCATGCAAATTCTGCAGTGGGGATAAAGCCAACAGTTGGTCTCACTAGCAGAGCTGGTGTTGTCCCAGTTTCTCCCAGACAGGACACCATTGGGTAATATAACCTAATAATAAAAAAAATCTACCAACTTTAAACCCAATTTCTCACCTTTTAACATTTTGGTACACTTTTCAGGCCTATTTGCAGGACAGTGGCTGATGCAGTTCATGTTCTTGATGCCATTGCTGGGTTCGACGAATTCGATCCAGCGACAAGAGAGGCATCAAAGTACATCCCTTATGGAGGGTACAAGCAGTTTTTGAAAGCTAATGGTCTAAAAGGGAAGAGAATTGGAGTTGTGAGGAACCCATTCTTGAGCAGTGTGGGTGAATATGAAAGGCAAGCCTTTGAGAGCCATGTCAGGATTTTAAGGCAGGGAGGGGCAACTGTGGTTGACAAGTTGGAGATCTCCAACATCGAGACCATCTCAAATGCAACGCGAAGTGGGGAAGCTGTTGCATTGTTGGCAGAGTTCAAGGTATCAGTGAATGCATATTTGAAGCAGCTGGTTGTTTCCCCAGTAAGGACACTGGCTGATGTGATTGCATTTAATCAGAAGTTCTCAGATGCTGTGAGTATACTGCCAAATGAAAGCCCAACTGCAAAGTTTTCTCCTTTCTAAGGGCTGATGCTAACTTTTGGTCCATGAACTTAGACAATGTAGAGTAACTAGGCTTGTGGAAACTGAATGGCTATATGTTATAAATGCAGGAAATGAATGATGAATTGGGTCAAGAAATATTCTTAGCTGCTGAGGGGACAAATGGGATTGGGAGCCTGGAGAAGGCAGCACTGGCAAATTTGGAGCAGCTGACCAAAGATGGGTTTCAGAAGCTGATGTGGGATCATGAATTGGATGCTTTGGTGACTCATGGACCTGGGATTTCTGCAGTCCTTGCCATTGGAGGATTCCCAGGGATCAATGTGCCAGCTGGGTATGATGAGAAAGGGGCGCCCTTTGGGATTAATTTTGGAGGGCTGAAGGGAACTGAGCAAAAGTTGATCCAAATTGCTTATGGGTTTGAGCAAGTCACTAAGATTAGGAAGCCTCCAACCTTCCATGCTTGAATGAAGAGTTATTGAGAAATAGAAGAAGAGACTTAAAGAAGTCTTAAGTTATGGGAATTATATATAAGATGATGGTAGTGGGAGTTCTATAAAGAAGAGTTCTTCAATCAAGAACGTTTATGATCTGCAATGCTTTCAAATCCTATAATGGTTCAATTAATGCCAAAAGGAAACCGAGCTCGGATTGATCTTGTTGTCTTGGAAGTGTTTAGAACTTCATATGCTTGGTTGCAACCATAGCATTCAAAATCGGGATTTTACGTAAAATCGAAAATGAGGGTAAATCTGAATCGTAAATCGAATCTTAAAATTTTTGAATTTTAAGGTTCATATAAAATCAAAGACGAAATAATATTAATAATGAAAATTATGAATAACAGAAAAACACTTAACACTTACAATGATAAATTCTCAAGTTTAATGTTTCAATTTATAAGGTTAATGTTTAGAAGTGGTAAATCAATGAAGATTGATATGTTGATGTGAATTGATGATGGTCGATGTTGGTGGAGGAGAAGGAAAAGAGACTTAATTCTAAAAGCTCTAGGGAAAATAAGAAAATTGACACATAGATTTGAATCGTAAAATCGTAAGTCTTGGAAGATTTAAATCGTGAATTGATGGAAACAAAAACTATTGCTATTTTTTACTATTTGGATTTATTTGTCGGTTATTTATTGTTTATGACTTTATTGATAATTTATTTGGATTATTGGTAGGAATTAATAGTTTGAATAGTTATGAAAAATTGTCAAGTCATATACATCCTGTAAGTGAGAATTATTCCACTGAGCATCTATATCTATATCTATATCTATATCTATATCTATATCTATATCTATATCTATCTATCTATCTCCACCATTCATATATTGTACACTTTTGTGTACTTTTCAGGGATTCAAACTTCCTGCTCTCCCCTTCATTTGCGATGGGGGTAATTAAGTCATTCAGTCCGCTCTTTCTCGCGGCCGGCCTCCCTTACCCGTTTCCATTTTTCCCTCTTTCCCATATCTGTCTTCAGTTCCTTTCTCCTTCCCACAGCGACGCCAAATTCAATATGTTAATAAGTTTTAGCCTTACAAATGATTATTGCTTTCCTTACTGTCGAGTTCTTCGCCGACATCAGTTCCCTCTGGTTTTTATTTTCTTCCCCTTTTTTCGAAGCAGATGGTCAAACCCTTTTAGGCTAACACTTTGGGTTCCAGCAAGCCACTGCTACATCCATTTCATTAGGAATTGGTGATCTTTTAACAATACATTCTAAGGGATGGCTAGTCCACGATGCTTAACAACAAAGTTTGATTTTGAAAAAACACCATCATAACGGAAATGTACAAGCGGTAGAAAAATTACGATAGTCCTTTGAGATATGGTATGCTAGAAGTGAATATTTGCGACAAGAAATAAATCCTACGAGAACTCTGATATCCAGGTATTCTTCTTCCCATTACTGTATCTGCATTCCCAACAAATCGAACTCAAACCCTTTTCTTTCTACTCGGCTAATACGCTTTTCGGGTGGCTTTGGTTGTTTACGATTTCCAGGTTGTTGTTTTTTTGGATGGGTTCTTCGAGTTCATGTGTACCCTTGTGTGGTTTTCTTCTGTTTGGGGCTTAGGGTTCTTTGCTATCATGAACAGGTAGGATTTGGGATTGGAATTGGCCCGGTTCTATGCGATTATGGTTTCTACAGGCTGCGTCCCTTTCCATCTAAGGAGGATTGCCGCCTCAGACCATTTGATTGGATTGTCAATCGACACCTGGAAGTCCCTCCTTGGCCATCGATTTCTTCCCAACATTGCAGGGTTTTCAAAATCTCGCTTTTGCCGGAGTTCTTAGATGATATTTCTACCATCTGCCCCTCACTCACGTAGGCCAAATCCAATCCATGGGCTGTGTTGCACAGTCGACTTCAGTTATGATTGCTACACCATTTGAGACCTTCACCTTAACCCTCAGTTTCATCGCTTTCTGCTATGAATCTATGATTTTATAGGTAATCTGGTTTGGTTATATGCGCATGGTTTCTTGCTTCTAATCGAGAATTGAGATGCCCAATTTTCTTGTTCACTTCATTGAGGGATTTCATATGTATATGCTACTTTGTTTCATACATTACATATGTATGCTACTTTTGACAAAGAGATGCCTCTTTTTCCATTAATAATATAGGATTTAGATTAGGATCTTCCTGGTATGTTGGTAAGGTGATAAATGGGAATACTTCCCCTGATTAGTAGTAAAGAAGACAAACCAGTAGTGTGCGGTTGCTTTCTTGGTTGTAATCTTCAATTGTAAGCGCCGAATTGGCTGCTCCATTTATTTCCTGATTGTAATAGGTTGATGCTTCCCAAAGGAATATTGAATAGGTAATAAGTTGTTGCTTCATCCAGCATATTCGTTTTTGACAGGGGTGGCTACTGTTATCCTATGTTGGGAACTCTGCAAAGAGATAAAAAGAGGATGTCTTCTTTTTGTTGGTGGGAATTGCATTGCTCCTCAATTCAAAGGACGTGGACCTATGGATGAAATAATCCTACTTTACTAGTTAAAATGACTCACCTCCTTCACCAAATTAAAGAATAACACGTTGCTGAATGATCTACTAACATACATTAAAAATAAATGAAATCTAATCTGTTACAAACATAAAAAATGAGGGGAGCCCTCTCTCCTTCGGCTATAGAGACAGATCGGAGGATTCCTGATCACCACTTTGTCGGCGATTCTCAGAGTCTGCTTGAGAAATCAAGGTCAGTCACGAGATTGGGAGAATAGCTATTAACACCTAAAATATTTTTGGCCTATAATGAGTCTTGACATATAATTCGATGCCGCATGATAAAAAATGGCGTCGTTGAGAGACAAGCAACGTCGCGGAGGGGTTAAACGGCACCGCAAGTAAGATCCAACAATGTCGCGAGCCATGGTTCGGCTTTACAATATTGGTTTTGGGATTGGAAAAGGAGTGCTCTCTATTCCTTACTGAAGAAGGAGAGGATTCGGCCAAGATTGCATGGGTGTGTGACCAACACCGGTGTGGAATTAGAAATGGTGTTGTTTGGTAAAATAAAACAACACCGAGAAGTCAAACCCCAATGGTACCGCGATACTAAGAATGACATTGTTTAGTAAAAAAAATGTCGCGAGAAATTGCAACAAAACGATGCCGCGGTAGTAGAAATCGGTGTTGTTTCATGGAGTACAACGGCGTGGTACCTGAAACGACATTGATTAGTTAAAAACAACGTCGAGGAGGCGTAAAGCAACTTTGTTTAGTCCAAACAACAGCGCGAGTTTGGTGAAATTGATGAATGGATTAGAAGGTAGAGTAATTCAATATCGCAGTGAAGTTGCAAGCTTGACGCAAAATTGACCAGTCATAGAATAAATATGACACTGTTTAATGAAAAACCACATTGAGTCTTGGTATGTGGTTGTGAATTTGACAAGGCCAACGGTGTCTTGGAAGGAGAATAAAAAATCATAGTGATGAATATTTGGACGACGTTGCGATGAAGATGTCGTTTAGGTAAGAACGACATTGCGAGACTGCGAGCTCAACAATGTTGCTAGCTCAACAATGTTGCGAGATCAACGATGCTGCGAATTTCGATGGTGTTGTGTAGTCAACGTCGCCGAGAGATCAACAAACTCACGGCGAGTATACGGTGGTGAGGGGTGAAACAACAATGTTATTTAATGGATGGCGGTGTCGTGATTCGAACCATAGTGGTACAAAGTTCATGTGTGCGCATATCACCTTACGCAAGGAAGATTGGAGAACAGATGCGAGGTAGTTGAAGACTACAACTTCTTGAAGTAGGATGGAGCACGTGGGAAACAAAGGCGAGGCGGTATCACATCGTGATGACTACGAAGATGTTTGATAAAAGCACCAGAGCAAGGAGAGAGAGAACAAGCAAAAAATCAAACACAAAACAACTCTGTTCCAAACTTATCTTTTTTCTCTATACCTCCCTTGCGGAGCTCTCCTTCCAGAAAGGATCTCCATAGTCGTAGCAGTAGTCGTAGTCGCGGAGCTCTCCACAAGAATATCCATATGAGTAGTTTTAACGTAGATTCCCCAAAAACTTAAACACCCTCGTTCGAACATCGTTTGGAGAGGTGTGAACCGTATTAACGGTCATCTTGGTTAAGAAGTCAGTGGTGCATCAATCAAATCAATATCGCCCGGCGGTGGATATTTGACGGTCGTCTTGATTTCAGTGGTCAGAGGTGCATCCCGTCAAACAACACCGCAAAAGTTTCATCTGCGAAACAACAAATCAACATCGCCCAAAACAGATTGGCACCAGCGGTGGATATTTGGTTTTGCGTGAAATAATAGCAATGGGCAACCTCTGTCAATCTGAATCAAAAGGAGAACAAAACACGAGATTTACGTGGTGTTCTCAATGAGTATTGTTGGGAATAATCCACGTAGAGGACCAACCACTCGGAGTCAATTGTATACATTGATAATTCTTAGGTTACAGTTTGGCTCTAATCTCCCAATATATACTTGAGCCCTCCTAACTCTAACTCACGTAACCTTCCATAATACATAAGGAATATTGGCAAATTACAATTATCTCCCTCTAACTTCTATAACTTTAACACCCTCCCGCAAATTGATGATGCTTACGCAACATCAATTTGAATGCAAGAAACCAATGACGAATAGAAGCAATGGCTTTGGTGAGAAGATCTATAGTATGATCTTTAGAGGTAACGTATGCTAACTCGATCTGTCCCTCGGCCACCAATTGACGAATGTAATGAATGTGAACCTCGATATGTTTCGTTCGGTCATGCAGAATAGGATTAGTAGCGATTCGAATAGCACTTGTATTATATGCATACAAGCGCATAGGAAGAGCACACTCCAACCCAAGTTCGGCCACCAAACATTGTAACCAGACGAGTTCAGAGGTAACTTCAGACATAGAGCAATATTTTGCCTCTATCGACGATTTCAACACCCGCTCTGGCTTCTTACAATGCCACGACACAAAAGACTGACCAATCTTCACAAACCATCATGATGTAGACCTTCGATTATCCAAACAACCAGCATAGTCCGCATCAACATATGTTTCAATCATAGAATCCCCAGTAGAAGGAAAAAAGATACTGACATCCTGGGTACCATGAAGGTAACGCAGAATGCGATTAACTACATCCATTAGAGATGTTCTTGGCGAATCCTTGAATTGACTGACAACCTGCATAATAGGGATGGACAACGAGATGGGACAAGATACCCTCCCGTTTGGAGAGCAATCTCCATCCCATGTCCCAAACCGTATGGGTTAACGGGTACCTGTTACCCGTACGGGATGGATAACGGGTACCCATACAACCCGTCCAAAA